CTTGAAGGATCCTTGTGGAAATATCACCAATTATTAATTAAAGTATCCTCTTTTTAATGCAACAAGCCGTTTTGAAAAATCGCTTTTAGTTTTTGAGAAATAAATTTTTGAAATGATCGACAATATACAGGTGTCTCAGCGAGGCCGGTCATTAGGCGTTTCTAGCGTTCTGGCCAAAATAAATATTTAAGAATTTAGAGTTAAGTATTACGCCGTAAATGTGAGCATTTTTCAAAAAACCCTAATTATTTCCCAAATTATTAATGTCAGGTATAGGACATATACAGTATAAAATAATATATATGTATAATAAATAAAATATGGGGGGTGCCATTTAAAAAAATGAAGTTATGATACTTTCAAATTTCGAAAAGTTAACGTGCCATAATAAATAAACAATATTTAAAACTATTTGAATAAAAAAATATTTAGATTTTGTCTACAAAAGATGTTTCACAGTATTTTTCGTAATTTGCTGATTTAATGTTTTCAGAAAACGATTTTTTTCTTATACAACCATATGATTTGATATGTTCATCGTATAGAGGCACTTATCGTCTCCAAAAAAAATTATGCATCCCATTTAAAATAACAATATTGGTTGCCATAGCAACGAAACAAAAAAAAATACAAGCAAGCAAATACCGACAAAGAAAGCGCCACGATTAATAATGATACTTGTATTTGAAACATTTTTCTTTAAAATCACAAACGGCAAAGTTATTTTTTATATTCCAGACATTTGACACACCCTGTATAACTTAATATATACAGTGCGCGCCAAAAAGTCAGTAACACCCGTTTCATTTCTATTCCATTGTATCTACGTTTCTGAAATTTAATTTATATAGGAGGTTCATACTGATCTTTCGATCTAAAATATTTTCAAGATGGTGGCCACTTCCGGTCCACCGGAAGTAGACTACAACTTCGGCTACTTTAGACTACAAATTTTAAGTTTTTTTTGTCAATGTTCACCATGCTCTTTAAAACCCCATATCTCAGCGAACTTTCATTCAAAAAAGCTCTAAATTGGCACGATTACTCTTCAAATGCTGTCAAATAGATTGTCATTTACTGTATCACAGTATCTTATACAGGTGGTCATAAAATTTTTGAGAAAACAATATTTGAAGTTTTGATAACATTTTTGATATTGTAAAATCAAACAATTTCAAATAAAAAACGTTGTTCTAGGTTCGCAATTGTGGTAGTCATTCATAACGATCACTATTTTTGTGAAAACTTTGTGAATTTTAATTTTTTAATATTTATAAATCGTGCTTGGTTTTAAAAACGAACCTTTTTGGTTAAAATAATATGTTGCTAGATGATATTTACGTGGTAATAACTCACAAGGATCACTATTTTTGTGAAAATTTTGTGAATTTTATCTTTGTCTTCAGACGCACGCAATTTTCATCGATAACTTGCAAAATTCTATCCGTTCCATCACTAATTAGGATGCAATTTTTTTTAGTTTAATCGATCCCCACGTAACAGATTATTGCGTCGTTATCAACACAATAAAGTCTTATCGAACGTTGTGTTCCGCGCAATACGAAAACGAAGAACCCCAAGTTATCAAATACGATCATCATCATCACCAACGCCGGAAAGACTTAAATAAAGACTTATCCTTACCAAAAATAAGTTGCGTCGGAAAACGTACTCATTTCACATTAAACGATTTACAAAAAGGACAAAATTATTTCGTCGATGTTTTCGCAATCAACCAACAAACAAATTTAACGTACCCTTATGGTTCAACAAAAACCAAATTCGACGCTTACATCAAACCCACATCCCTTAAAGACGGGAAATTAACATTCGTTAATTTAAAAAAGTTAGATGGAAAAGCCGAATTTATTTACAAGGTAATAATTATTAAAATAAATTTAATAAATATCCTTATTTTAGCAAATTTTAGTTAGAAAAATCATCGGAAAATTCGTTAGAATTTTATTTCATCCCATGCGGGTTAATGGACATCGAAATAATCCTAAAACACAACGGAACAAAATCGAAATCCCGCTTAAAAAATTTCGGAAAAATCACCATCGATAACCCAACCCCGTTAAAATACTTCTTACGAGTGCTCGATCGCAATTTTTCATCCGATATTCGAAGATCTTCAGGAGTTAAGGTTTTGGCGACAACAAAACCATCAAAAATACCATTCCCGGTGCTTCCCTCACGAACGGAAGTCCACGAATACATATCAATGCGAAAATGCGACCAAATCACCATCGGGTGGTACGCTTCTCCCATGAAAAATAACGCGAAATATTGTGTGGCTATAAAAAAGGGAAAATTGCAAACGCAAAATGATAAGTTGGATTTAACGGATCGTTGCCGAGATTTTAATTTAAAATCGTTGGGGGTTACGTATTGTAAAGAATTTAAGGAGTTTAAAAGTGTTTTATCATCGCAAGATGAAATAATCATGGAAACTATTGAAAATTTGGAATCGGGGGAAAGTTACGTTGTTTACGTTTCGATACAAAAGAAAAAGGGGAAAACTTTATCTTACGATTTATTACAAGCTTACACCAAAGCTGAATGTAGTTAATATATTGTCTATATTTAATAAAATTTTATTAAAATAAAACATTTTTTTAATTCCATACAATCCTTAAATATGATTTCAATGTAAACGAATTGTATAATTAGCAACACAATATACGATTATTACTAATTAAACAAAATTCATTGTTTATTAGGTGATTAGAAGAAATAAAAATCGCTTTTTGCAACAATTATTTATTATTATTATAAATTAGCATTTGTACAGATTTTTATTTTATCAACATATTTTACAGTTCCCGGTAATCGATAATTGTCAAAATAGTAAATACAAAACTTAAATAACGTTCCTAACAAATAAATTAATTGTATTTAATTACGTAATAATAATAGTAATGTAAAATAAAATAATTGTTTAATAATAATAAAAGAACCTCACTTTGCATTAGCATCAATACACTGGATTACAACCGGTTTTTTTAGTAGTATTAAGTATAAAACAATTAATTTGAATCCATATTGTTTCAAACACTTTTCTCTTCCTTACACCAAACGCAAATGTATCTAGGCTCACCTGGAGGACTTTGGATATCCTATTAATTAACTAAAACAAATAAAAAAATCGAGAAATATCACTACCTTATTTAATTTTGAAATTATTATAATAAAGTTATAAAACTCACCATTACTCAGGATTAATTAGAAAAATAATTCGTTTTATCCCTCATCCTTTTGGTTCCTAAAAATTAGTTAGGTTAAGATTTTTTTTGCATCTAATTTTCAATTAAAATCCAACATCTATAAACAGAAAATTAATTATTATAATATAAAAAGTCATTATCTCCAGAAAAGTGTTTCCAATTTTATTACATAAATCAAAAACATATAAAGAAAAAAATCATAAACTCTATGATAATTGATTAAATTATTTATATGTAACGTATAATGTGTATCATATGATTAAATTATTATGTAACTTATGTACACTTATAAAGGAAAAACCACTCAAATTCTACACATCTAATTCTCCATAATCTCGCAGAATTCTCCAATTTTCTAGTTTCCATTGATTTACGATCGTTGAGGCGGAGGTCCGGTGGGTAAAAGACCGGCCATCGCCAAAGTAGGGGGCGGAGGCACGCTGATATCGGGCAAACTCGTCCTGTATTGCTGTTGTTGTGGGTAATTTACCGGCATAAACGGAACGGGGGCCCCATAACTCGGATGGATATTGTTTATTGTGTGCGTTTTTATACGCGCCGGGAATATGTGAGGGGGCGGAGATCCTGGTGGTGGTGACGGAGGTGGTAAATTATACAATTCAGTGTCATCCTCGCATGGTTCAGACGACTTTTTTGGTACTTTAACCTAAAAAAAAATTTTTTTAAATAAATCGTTGGTGACAAACTAAAGATAAAGAAGTTTCCTAGATTTTAATAACTAAAGAAATCTGCTTTACCGATACTGATTAATAAACGTCAAATGAGTCAAAATAAAAAAAGTTGTTATTTGACAATGACAAGGTAGAAATATTTAAACTTTTTTTAATCGATCCGGATTTGACAAACATTAAAAAATGAAAGAACTCCTTTCTTTGATACGAAGAATGGTCTCCGCTTACAACAACATTCAACACTCGCCCAGCTCAAAACACGAAAGGTGCAAAAACGGGGGTCTTTTTAATATCCCCGAATTGAGTACAAGCAATGGATTTTACGAACTACAAGATCAATGCAAATCTATTTTAACTTAAAAAAAATTTTAATAAATAAATCGATGACAGACTAACGAAAAAGAAGTTCCCTACATTTCAATAACTAAAGAAATCTGCTTTACCGATATCGATTAATAAACGTCAAATAAGTCAAAACTTAACCTCAAAATAAAATTAAAAAAAAGTTGTTATTTGACAATGACAAGGTAGAAATGTTTAAACTTTTTTTAATCAATCCGGATTTGACAAACATTAAAAAATGGAAGAACTCCTTTCTTTGATACGAAGAATGGTCTCTGCTTACAACATTCAACACTCGCCCAGCTCAAAACACGAAAGGTGCAAAAACAGGGGATCTTTTTAATATCCCCGAATTGAGTACAAGGAATGGATTTTACGAACTACAAGATCAATGCAAACGGAAAGTTGCCGAATTGAAATCTATTTTAACTTACAAAAAAATTTTTAATAAATAAATCGATGTAAAACTAACGAAAAAGAAGTTCCCTACATTTTAATAACTAAAGAAATCTGCTTTACCGATACCGATTAATAAATGTCAAATAAGTCACAACCTAACCTCAAAATAAAATTAAAAAAAAGTTGTTATTTGACAATGACAAGGTAGAAATGTTTAAACTTTTTTTAATCAATCCGGATTTGACAAACATTAAAAAATGAAAGAACTCCTTTCTTTGATACGAAGAACCCACGTTCCATATAATAGAAGGTTCTTAAAAACATGGTCTCCGCTTACAACAACATTCAACACTCGCCCAGCTCAAAACACGAAAGGTGCAAAAACAGGGGGTCTTTTTAACATCCCCGAATTAAGTACAAGCAACGGATTTTACGAACTACAAGATCAATGCGCCCGGCGGACCGACGAGTTAATGTGCGAAGCGGTTGGGAGCTCCCGAAATCGGAAAATCGTCGAAATTTTCGATGAATTATCAAACACGTTATGCAAAGTGGCCGATTTGGCTGAATTTATTCGATTGGCACATCCAGATGGGGCTTATTCTATAGCGGCGGAATCCGCTTGTTGCGCGGTAAGTGGCGTTGTTGAAAAATTAAACACAAATCGTAATTTATACAACGCTTTACGCGGGGTTTCTTTAAACGGAGATATCATCAAAACCGATCCAATCGACCAACACGTCGCCGATTTATTCTTATTCGATTTCGAACAATCAGGAATCCACCTCGACGATAACTCAAGACACAAAGCGGTTAAATTAAACGATATTATCCTGCAATTGGGGCAACAATTCGTCGCTGGAACCGGACAACCGCGATACATCAAAAAAAATCTTACCCCAAAGTTTATTCGAAGCGTTTTTACAAACGAAGGGGATTACGTAATCGTCTCTGGGTTACATGGAGATTCCGCAAATCCCGTTATAAGAGAATTCGCGTATCGAATTTTTTTACAACCCGAAATGCATCAAGAAACGATTCTTAAAGAACTTTTTATGTCGCGATTTGAATTGGCCGATATTTGCGGATTCGAAACGTACGCTAATAAAGCGTTAAACGGCGGGATGATCGATTCGCCCCAATTAGTGATGGAATTTTTAAACAATCTTTCGGAAAATATCCGCGAAAAAGCCGGAAAAGATTTCGAGTACATCTCAAAATTAAAAAGAACCGAATATCCCAACTCAGGCCCATTAGCACCATGGGATATCCCATATTACACCCAAAAAGTCAAAAAGGAACACTTTAAATTAAACACAATCGAATATTCCCCGTATTTTTCATTGGGGGCTTGCATGGATGGATTAAATCATTTATTTACTTCGCTTTACGGAATCACATTAGAGGAAGTTAAAATAAATCCTGGCGAAACTTGGATTGAAGACGTTTATAAATTGGGGGTGATTCACGAAGATGAAGGCCTTTTAGGCTACATTTATTGCGATTTTTACGAACGATCAGGAAAACCAAATCAAGATTGCCACTTCACGATTCGCGGTGGAAAAACTTTATCAGACGGAACTTATCAATTACCCATCGTTGTGTTAATGTTAAATTTGCCCACCCCGAAATGGGGAAATCCGTGTTTGTTAACTCCAGGGATGGTTGATAATTTATTTCATGAAATGGGACACGCGATGCATTCGATGTTGGGGCGTACTAAGTACCAACACACTACAGGGACAAGATGTAGCACCGATTTAGCTGAAGTCCCATCGGTTTTAATGGAATATTTCGCCGCCGATCCAAGAGTCATTAAAACATTCGCTAAACACTATCAAACGAAGCAACCGATTCCAGAACCCATGTTGGAGAAACTTTGCGAGTCAAAACATATTTTTAACGCCTCCGAAATGCAATTGCAAATTTTTTATTCCGCCCTAGATCAAAGGTATCACGACAAACCTTTTAATTCCTCAACGACCCAAATACTGGAAGAGGTTCAAAATGAATATTACGGGCTACCTTACGTAAAAAACACTGCGTGGCAATTAAGATTTAGTCACTTGGTTGGATATGGTGCGAAATATTATTCGTATTTAGTTTCGAGGGCGTTGGCGTCATGGATTTGGCAGAGTTATTTCAAAAATGACCCGTTTAGCCGCGAACAAGGCGAGCGATATCGAAGGGAGTGTTTAGCTCATGGTGGTGGAAAACCACCATGGAATCTTGTCGCTGATTTTTTAAAATTGGAACCTACACCCGCTTTATTAGCCAAATCTCTTATAAATGATATTGAAGTTAAGCAATTGTAGAAAGAAGTTTTTTTTGAACATAAAATAAATTATTATCTTGTAAAATTTTGTATTTTTGACTTACCTTGATTTTTTTCTTCTTGGAAGCTTTTGATTTCTTCTTTTTGATCTTTTTAACGCGTTTCTCGGTCGGTACAACTGCCTGTAACGGCGGTGGTGATGAAAGTTCTTCACCACCCGATGTTGACGTTCCTTCACCAGGAACTATTCCATCAGCGAATATTACCATTTTCTTTCGATCAACAAAATCTTCGATGTTAATAGATGATTTACTGTAAAATAAATAAATTTTAAAAAATAATTCGTAATATAGGCAACCAAAACGATGTTGGTTGACAGTTTTAAATGTAAGTACAAAAACAGTTTTCTTCATAATTATAAACATTCAAAGACGTTCAAAATTAATGTTGTACATTCAACAAGAAGTGATCGCAACCTGATTCAATAATAAATGATTTAGTGTAAAATAAATTAATTAAAAAAAATAATTCGTAATATAGGCAACCAAAACGATATTGATTGACAGTTTTAAATATAAGTACAAAAACAGTTTTCTTCATAATTATAAACATTCAAAGACGTTCATCATTAATGTTGCACATTCAACAAGAAGCGATCGCAACCTGATTCAATAATAAATGATTTCGTGTAAAATAAATTAATTAAAAAAAAAATTCGTAATATAGGCAACCAAAACGACATTGGTTGACAATTTTAAATGTAAGTACAAAAACAGTTTTCTTCATAATTATAAACATTCAAAGACGTTCAACATTAATGTTGTACATTCAATAAGAAGCGATCGCAACCTGATTCAATAATAAATGATTTAGTATAAAATAAATTAATTTTAAAAAAATAATTCGTAATATAGGCAACCCACACGACATTGCTTGACAGTTTTAAATGTCAATATAAAAATAGTTTTCTTAACAATTATTCATTATTATAAACATTTAAAGGCGTTCAACATTAATGTTGTACATTCAACAAGAAGCGATTAATCAATTAATTGAAATAGCGAAAACACAAAAAGTAAGAATTTCAAAATTCAGAACAGCAACCTGAACTTGGCCTTGAATACACGCTAAGAAAATAACATGGAATGAATACATTGGGCTGCAAAGAGCAGTAACCTCGCGCTTAGAACCAGCATACAACATTAGAAATAGAATAGAAAATGATTCTACCTAGCCCAACCTTTCCATTAATCTTGCTGAAATTGAGAAATGTATTATTATTTTTTATTGCAGAAGATCAGATAAGGTTTGTAGAAAACTATATATATGTACAGCTGCAAGAAGACAAGCTGTTTCTGAGACAGAATTAAATACTGCCAAAGACGAGATACTGTTAGTAGAAGACTATGTAGGTACTAGAAGACCAGATACTGTTTGTAGAAGACTAGATACTGATTGCTGATGACCAAATTTTGCTTGCAAAAGACCAGATATAGCTAGCAAAAGACTAAGTGACGAAGACTAAGACCAAGTTCCTAATTCATACAAAAAAATGTCAAAATATATTTTTTGAAGATGGTAATGAAAGAGCAGATACTTGCAGAAGACTACATACTCCCTCCGGAAAAGTATCTGTTTCTTACAAAAGACTGGAAACTGTAAAAAGAACATTAGGTATTATTATTATTGGCAGAAGAGAAAATATCGCTATAATAGAAATCTAAATCTTTTTATTGAAGACTTTTGGCAGAAAACTAGAAGTTGGTAATGACTGACTAAAAACCATTTTTACCCAAAATTTTATAAATTTATCTATATTTAAAGTTCTAGTTTATATAAAAAATCACAAGTAACTAAATGATTGAACGTCCTAGACACTGCGCAACATGGTGCCCAATATCTATCAATATCAGCGTACCAACATAGAACTTGAAGCTGTTAATAATAAGTGCCATACTATGCAGAGGGAAATCAAAAACATCTTATACTAGTAGACAGCGCCACCTAGCAAGAATTTTGAAAAATGTTTCAAACGAAAATTATTCCTAATATAATTCTAAACAAATATAGTTTGAAAACATTTTTTATACGACCTTTATTTATTAAGATAACCTCAAAAAATGTCAATTCTATATACAACGCCACCTTGTGGAAATATTAAAAGTTTGTTTTGAAAAAACCATTTTAAATCGTACTTTAAGTAAGTATTAAAAGTAATAAGTAAAAATTGAAATGCCGTACTATGCAGAGGGAAATAAAAAAACATCTTATACTATACTCTGTTTTTAAACCAGGAGGAGTAAACGCGAAAGCAAGATTTACACTAGGAAAAATCACCAGAAAATATCACTAGATATTTTGGCGGTAAATTTAAATTAATAATTATTATTATTTATTTATTTACTTATTATTGTATTTATTTTCGTTTGTTATCGTCAACACTAAACATACAAATTAACATTGAAGTTATGAGTGTATTTATTTCAAAATATAATAAAGAAGGGTTTAAGAACACAAAATTTACAATAATGACACGAAACTGTCGAATTGTCAATAACCTAACCTTCAAATTCAAAATTGCCTGTGTGTGAACCTTCCTCGCATTCAACCAATCACGTGCAAGGTCAATCTGGTGACAAATTTAAAATACTCCTCCTGGTTTAAAAACAGAGTATAATTGCCAAAGAAAACTTCAAGGTATAATTAATGTTTGTAAACAAAACTAACCTTACCTAACATTCCTTCACGCTATAATTGACATTACAAAAGAAAACTTCACGCTATAATTGCCATTACTAATTGCCAAAGAAAACTTCATGGTATAATTAATGTTTGTAAACAAAACTAACCTTACCTAACATTCAGCGTCCGAAGGCACAGGGCTAAACCCGAAACTTAAAAATATACAACTTGGCGCTGAATAACAATTAAAACTAGAACTAACACTTGCACTAGAACTATACTCTCAAAGAGTATAGTTCGTTAGAGATACTCAAAGAGTATCATCTAGCAGAAATTTTGAAAAATGTTTCAAACAAAAATTGTTTATGATTTAATTCTAAACAAATTTTGTTTGAAAATTTTTTGTATACGACCTTTAATTTTATTATTAAGATAACCTCGAAGATGTCACTTTTATAATAAACACCTGTGTATTATTATATTATACAGTAATTAAAATAAGTTTAATAAAAACTCACCTTATTTTATTAATTAAAATACTTTTCCCAGCCGGTCTCAACATCGGACTCGACCCAATCCCTTTCGACCAAAACCCTCCAACAATTTCATCCCCATTCGCCCCAACAAACTCCTCATTTTCCTCATTACTATCACCCCCCATCGCCAACGCCTCCGTTTCCAATTTAAGCGCATGCTTAATCATCGTCTCCGTCTTCATTTTCAATTTCATCTGCTTCCTTTTTTCCTTCTCCGATTTCCTCACCTCCTTATCTTTCCGTTTCTTTTCCCTTTCTTCGTGACGTTTTTGTTTTTCCGCCCTTCGTTCCGCCAATTTCTTCTTCAACGTATCTTCGGGCGAGATTTTCTCCAATTCAATCGATTGGTGTTGTGGAGCTTCTTGCAAATTAGGTACCATTTCAATTAAATTATTATTAGTAGCGTTGTGGATGTAATTGGGGGTTTGGATCGGGTTATTTAGATTTAGATTTGGATTTGAATTTGGAGGAAGAGACGGTGTTGGAACAACTTGAAGTACATTTCCGATTTGGAGAATTTGTGTGGTTTGGGTTGAAGGTTTATTTTGAGTGATATCTAAATCGTCTCTTGGAACTACTTCGAGAACGTTTCCGATTTGGCGAACTTGATTTTGACCGTATTGGTGGTTGTTGTAGTCGTAGTTGTAATAATTGTAATGTGGTTGTTCCGGGGGTTTCATTTGCTCCTTTTCTATCCCTAAGACTTGGTTAATTCGGTCGTCTAAAGGGATTCTTTTCGGTGATGTTAATCCGTGCTCGATTCTTTTATGGTAATTATAAATGGGGGAATCAACGATTTCATTTCGATTTTGTTGCAATAATTGTTCATCGCTTATCGTTGAATCGGCTAAACTTCGTTTGAACCCATCAACTGGTGAGTTAGTAATCGGGGATTTTCGGTAATCTTCGCCAGCGGCGATTCTTTGTAACGTAATTTGTATCGGTTCTTTTCGATTTATCGGAGATCGGCTATAACTTCTTTTATAACGTTTAAATCGTTGCGAATTCGGCGAATACGATCTTTTTCGTTCGTATCGATCGTGTCTTGGTGAATGATTTTTTCTTCGCGGACTCACCGAGCGTTTACGATTAATTCTAGGGGAATAACTCCGTTTCCGGTATCTCGGCGAATTCGATCTCCTCCTTCGTTTCGGAGATAAAGGCGATAATCTTCTACTTTTCCTCTCACTTCTTCGTATCGTGGGGGAAATCGATTTTCTTAAACTTCTTAACCCCGGCGATAAATCACGTCTACAATTATTTCTTTCACCAAATTCATCCTCCCCATCATTATCTTTCTTAATCTTCAACAAATCAGTAAAATCTTGACTATTTTCATCTGGGATGGCATCATAAACGATCGCATTTTGTTTCTTTGAAATTGTAAAAGAATAATTTGATGTTAATTCTAAATTTTTAATACTCTCATTTTCGAAACTATCATTCGTTTGTGATAAAGAAGTCGTTGAATCGGCTTTAGATGATAAATTAATGTTCGATAAATCATGCGAAGTGGAAATTTCGTCTTTTTCGATTTTGATGGAAAGGAAATTTTTGAAATTTGATGGTGGGGGGACGATTTCGGGTGGTGGGACGATCGCGGGGGGTTGTAATTTGGATAAGATGGGGGAAATTATTAAATTTGATGAATAAAACGAGGAAATTGATGAAACGGAGGATGAATTTGGATTTAAATTTGGATTTAGATTAGTTTCGATTATTTCCTCTTTAATTTTAACCCTTAAATGTTCGTTGGGGATTTTCTCCAAATCGTCTAAATTTTCAATCACGGGTTTGATTAATTTGAAATTTTTCTTTCGACGCTTTTTTTTTCTATCTCTTGAGTCATCACTAGAAGAACTTGAACTAGAACTTGATGAGCTACTTGATGAAGAAGAAGAGCTACTATAAGAGGATGAATCCGAGCTACTTGAGCTATTTCTGTAACGTTTTTTCCACTTCTTTCCTTCTTTTTTCTGTTTACGTTTTCTTTTTTCTTTTAATTTTCGTTTTAATTTCGACGATTTTTTTGGTTTTATCTCGTTTTCTATCACTTTAGTAAAAGCTTCCGTTTTTACAGAAATATCAGTAGTCACAGCTTTCAAAAATTCTTCATATTCATTCTCTAAAACATTCGTTTTATCATTTATTTTTAATTCATCTTCATTTAAATCATCTTTTTTATCTTCCTTACAAGATAATTTTCGTTTCTTTTTATTCTTTTCTTTATTACTCTCTAATTTAACCTCCTCACATTTCAATTTCTCATTAATTTTATCTTTATCAACATTTTTCTCATCTTTAAACTCAACATAATTCATCTCCATCTCCGTATTTTTCACCTCTCTCAATTTCTCAGCGATTAATCTCTTCTCCATCTCCAATAATTTCCTCTCATGGCTCAAAACTTCCATTTCGTGTCGTAATCGTTCCGATTCTCGATCTCTCCAAAGATCATCATTACCCTCAACTTTCCTAGAGACGTGTTTAATATTTAGAGGCATCTCCAAAGACCGTTCCCCACCCTTTTTAATCTTTCCAGGGCGATCAATCGTTCGTTCTGGGGAATATTCTTGTTGTCGTCGTGGTCTTTTGCTTCTCTCGATTGGTTCATCATCGCTGTCCCATGACATGTCTAATTTTTTGGGGGAAAATGAGATTATATTTGTGACGTCTTCGTCGCTTTCCCAATAAGAATGATATTCGTCGGTGTCTGGGGTTCCCGTATCGGATTTTGGGGGTGATTTTTTAATTTTTTGTGATTTAATTTTTTTTTCTTCATCTTTTTTTGATTTTTTATATCCTCCATCATCGTGTTCGGGGAAAATATCAACATCGTCGTAATGCAAAGCGACATTTGAAACGTTTTTAACTTTTTTTGAGGTTACATTTGATTTAATTTCTTTATCTTTAGTTTCTTTTTGGTCATCTTTGTTTGGTTCTTGATAAACAGTTTTATCTTTATCTTTTTTATTTTCGTGATTTGGGTTTTCTTTGCTTTTCGAACGAGATTTCTCTTTGCTTTTTGATCGAGATTTGTGTTTACTCTTCGACTTGGGTTTTTCTTTAACAATTTCTTTTTCTTTTGAATAAGAAGATGATCTTAACCTATCTTTTTTGGGTATTTTATCGACATCTTTTTCAATACTTTCTTTAACTTTAGCTTTTTCTTCTTTTTCTTTATTTATTTTTCCTTCCTCATTTTCTTTTTCCTTTTTCTTTTTCAATTTCTTCTCTTGTTTACGTTTTAACTTCTTTTCACTCTTTTTGATTTTTTTACTCACTTTTTTATCCTTTTTCTTCTTCTTAATCTTCTTCTTTTTAATCTCCTCCTCCTTCTTATCATCTTTTACTTTTTTATTTTTCATCTTTTTCTTTTCATCCACCTCAATATTCGAAACATTAGGTACCTCTTCTTCTTCAGCATCAACGTAACCCTGAATTACACTTAACCCCAACGAGGATGGCTCCAAAAGCTCACATTCTTTTTGAAACGGTTCCAAAATAGTTTTTGGAAACCATTTTCGCGAAGTTTGTTTTGGGGCGTTTTTTAAACTTTTCGGTACACTTTCTTCCGCGTGATTTCTTATTTTATCAATAACATCTTTATGTATTTCCGGAACGTAATTGTAAATTTCACGAGATGATAAAAAATAAGGTGCACACTTCGTTGGATTCACTGAATAAGAAATAGGTGGAAATTTTCTTGTGTATCTAAAAAAAACAGGAAAATTTATTAATTTTGTTACCTGAATAAAGAAAATAACATAAAACGAAAGGCGAAAAGAGACAGTTCGAGATTCAAAACCTGATCAAACAGTTTTAGGTTATATTTATTTCGATTGACAGATTTGTTTCAAATCGAAGCGCCATCTTGTAACAATAATTATGACAGGCATTGATGCCAACATGCGAGACAAAAATTAATCTTTTACTTAAATTAATACAAAATAATCTTTAATTAAAGTATACTCAGCAATATCTTTCAAAATCCAGTGATTTTAGTTAACAAAGAGTCTTTTGAGTCTTCTCATTAACTATGAATTGTCCAAAAGTTCAATAGATGAAGTTTCTCTTCATGTTTTCTGTATTTTATGTCCCTTGAAGAAGCATTGAAGACTATTAATACTAATACTATTAATATAAACACCGTACCTCAAAAAGTTTCATTTTATTTATACCAAATTACAAGCTTCAAAAATCACCTATTTGGTTTAACGTTTATAGGAAGTGAGGTTAATGAAAAAACTGTTTTCTTAAAAACGGTTAGAAACCAAGAAATGAAACTTTTTGAGCTTATAAAGGAACGTTTGAGGTTGGTTTATACCAAATTACAAGCTTCCAGGGTCATTGTCTCGTTTCACACAAACTTTTAAAAATCACCTATTTAATTTGACGTTTTTAGGAAGTGAGGTTAATAAAAAAAATGTTTTCTCCAAAACGATTAGGAACTAAGAAATGAAACTTTTTGAGGTTATAAAGTAAAGTTTAAGGTTGGTTTATACCAAATTACAAGCTGCCAGGGTCATTGTTTCGCTTCACACAAACTTTTAAAAATCACCTATTTAATTTGACGTTTATAAGAAATGAGGTTAATGAAAACACTGTTTTCTCCAAAACGGTTAGGAACCAAGAAATGAAACTTTTTGAGCTTATAAAGGAACGTTTGAGGTTGGTTTATACCAAATTACAAGCTTCCAGGGTCATTGTTTCGTTTCACACAAATTTTTTAAAATCACCTATTTGATTTGACGTTTATAGGAAGTGAGGTTAATGAAAAAATTGTTTTCTCCAAAACGATTAGGAACTAAGAAATGAAACTTTTTGAGGTTATAAAGTAAAGTTTAAGGTTGGTTTATACCAAATTACAAGCTTCCAGGGTCATTGTTTCGTTTCACACAAACTTTTAAAAATCACCTATTTAATTTGACGTTTATAAGAAGTGAGGTTAATGAAAAAATTGTTTTCTCCAAAACGATTAGGAACTAAGAAATGAAACTTTTTGAGGTTATAAAGTAAAGTTTAAGGTTGGTTTATACCAAATTACAAGCTTCCAGGGTCATTGTTTCGTTGCACACAAATTTTTTAAAATCATCTATTTGATTTGACGTTTATAGGAAGTGAGGTTAATGAAAAAAATTGTTTTCTCAAAAACGGTTAGAAACCAAGAAATGAAACTTTTTGAGCTTATAAAGGAACGTTTGAGGCTGGTTTATACCAAATTACAAGCTTCCAGGGTCATTGTTTCGTTTCACACAAATTTTTTAAAATCATCTATTTGATTTGACGTTTATAGGAAGTGAGGTTAATGAAAACACTGTTTTCTCCAAAACGGCTAGGAACCAAGAAATGAAACTTTTTGAGATTAAAAAGGAACGTTTGAGGCTGGTTTATACCAAATTACAAGCTTCCAGGGTCATTGTTTCGTTTCACACAAATTTTTTAATATCACCTATTTGATTTGACGTTTATAGGAAATGAGGTTAATGAAAAAATTGTTTTCTCCAAAACGATTAGGAACTAAGAAATTAAACTTTTTGAGGTTATAAAGGAACGTTTGAAAACTTTACTGTACAGTCGACACTGTACAAACACAAATATTAACTTTATTGAAGCTGTAAAGGCGTCGCTATTAAAAAAAGTTTAAGAAGCTCTAGAGGTCTCTACTCAGAGAGAAATATATTCTTGAATGAAGATTATTACTCTTGGGTCAAGCTTATCATATTCCTGTATATCCACAAGAAGATCATTTTGTTGAGTGAAGAAAAACCACATATTCTCAAAGCAAGTATATAAATATTATTGATTCTCAAGAAAACGAATTCTTAGTGAAAGCAATAATCTTGAAAAACAGTATCTTAGTGTTGCGTTAATAATCCCATTTTCGTATCGAGAATAGATTTCTTAAGTCAAGAATAATGTATCTAAGTTTTTAGAAAAACTTATTCATGTAACAACAATCTTGTATAAATCTTCATTTCAGTATTATAAATAATTTACGCAAGAATGAATTTTTTGATACAAGAAATTCATATTTTGAGAGTTGTTTCTAAGACATACATTAAGGAATAATTTTTTTTTGAGAGTCAAGAATAATTTCCTCAGTGTAGGAATCCAAGGCTCAATTTGGGCTTTTGAAGAGACAGCTGCAATGGAAGAAAGGTCTCCTGGCATCGTTTGAGCAGAGTATTTGCACAATTTTCAACAAATAATTATTTCTTGAACGTCAAATTTTAGTTCTCTAAAAAATTTAAATATAAAATTTAATTAGATTCAAATTTTAATTCATTAAAACGTTATATTAAAGGATAAAAAGCATACATTCCTAACATATATGCTATAACAACACAAATACATTGATCACTAAACAACTGTCATTTTAAGAACTGTCATTTCACATTTGCAGGTTAGAAATTGTTGATACATCAATTTTTAATAAATTCATTAATTAAATAATTACCTTATATACGGGGGTGAGATTGTAATAATAACACAAATAAACTAAACACTAATAAATTAATCACTAAACAACTGTCATTTTAAGAACTGTCATTTCACATTTGCAGGTTAGAATTTGTTGAAACATCATTTTTTAATAAATTGATTAATTAAATAATTACCTTATATATGGGAATGCGATTGTAATAACACAAACAAACTAAACACTAATAAATTAATCACTAAACAACTGTCATTTCAAGAATTGTCAATTCAAGAACTGTTATTTCATATTTGCAGGTTAGAATTTTTTGAAACATCATTTTTTAATAAATTAATTAATTAAATAATTACCTCATATACGGGGATAGATTGTAATAACACAAATAAACTAAATACTAATAAATTAATCACTAAACAACTGTCATTTTAAGAACTGTCATTTGACATTTGCAGGTTAGAATTTGTTGAAAAATCATTTTTTAATAGGTATAAATTAATTAATTAAATAATTACCTTATATACGGGGGTGAGATTGTTTTTTCTGATCCTTGAATACTTTTTATAATCAAAGGGTTAAGTTCTATCGGAGACGAATTATAAAGAAGTTGTATTCGAAAACTAAAATTTTTTTTAATTAATTTATTAATTAAATAATTTTTTTGTAACTTACTCGGTTGTAATTCCTTTTTTTCGACTCGATCCCAATCCGTTTTTGATTCTTATACAATCTTCAATGGATAAATTCCGTTCGGAAACTTCGTGCCAATTTTTTGGATACTTTTTGTGGTCGTATTTTTTCTTTTCTTCCAAACTCGACTGTCTCTTCTCTTTGTACTCTTTTAAGTGGGTGGAAAACGATCGATGGTGAAGCCCAACGTTGGATTTTCTTCTATCACTAAAACTAGTATCTTCTTTTTTTGATTCGGAGTTTTCAAACATGTTTTGTTCATCTTTTTTAATCTGTTCGAGTTCCTCAATCAATGATTTTTGTTTTACAACTCCTAAAGAATCAATTTTTATCAACTAAGTACTTATTAACAAAAAGAAATTAATTAACTCACGTTTTTTTGGTTTTTTAATTTTAACTTCTTCAATTTCTTTCGTTTTTTTATGTGGAGACAACGTTGGTTTGGGTGATAAAAAAGCTTGTAGCCGCTGTTTCGCTTTTAATTTCCCCAAAAGCGTCTGTTTTGGCGAATTTATGTTCAATAAGTTATCAGTGACGCTTGGTTTTTCATCAAGGGACAATAAACCGCCCGGGTCGTCCGTTTTTTCGTCAATTTCACTTGGCAGTGGCTCGTTTTTGTCATTTTCCTCGACGCTTTCAGTCCCTTGGCTTGATTCTTCTTCAGCCAACATCTTGACGAGGCGAATTTTTATCGGGACATTTGTATAACGACGTTATCGGTCAATTTACAAACATTCGATCTAATTAAAACGTGCTGTACACGTGCACTTTTCACTTAAACCCCCGAATAACACACGTATTTGTAAATAAACTCTGGTTGCTCACCAAATATCCTGAACGGTCCTATACATTTTATCAAGATCAAACGTATCGGTGTAAACTTAAAATAGATTTAAACTATATATCTAATTGCACTAGTTAAAAAATTATTAATCAAGGTTTTTTTTAATAAATTTGACAAAATATATACATTTAACATCTTCCCTAAATCAATATCTGGTTACTTTTTATGAATGTCCCTTTATGTTGGTGACAATGATTTAATACTAATGTCATTAAGGCATATAATTACGAAAAATTTGAAATATTCCTCAAAAATTAAATGATAAATTCAATTAAAATTAATAATAATTAAAATTATTTATAAATAAACAAATTATTAAATTAATTGAGTTGAGTCGGAACTTCGATACAAACAGTGCTGCCTCTGGTGACAAACGAGATAACTAATGAGTCATATGTAAATATTGGAAATTAATTTTTTTATGGTACATACCACAAATTATGATATATTATCCTAAAGAATATTTGAAAATGAAGAACATAAACTATAACAAACAACCACAGAAAAACATTACATAAACTAATTAATTTATTTTTGACATTTTGAGGTTAAAAAAAAAACATAACCTAAAAATTAAATTGAAATGATTTTTAGAATTTTTTGAAATAACGTTGGTAAACAATACGAGCTTTAATAAGAGGAATTAAATGATGATTTATATCTAATTAAATTTGATTTTATCATTGAAATTCGAATGTAGAATATTTCTTTTTTGTTACAAGATACTGAGAGATTCACTTAGAAGAGTAAAAGCAAAAGTGGATGTCTTGATTATCTATACAGTCCAACAAGTGCGTTTTATTCAAAGTTGACTACAAAAACTGTATTTGAACAGATCACAAGATTGTATTTTTGTGTAGATAACCTAATTATTGCTATCAGAGGATTAAATACTGCTGGTAGAAGACTAAAAACTGCTTGGAAAGAAGAAATACTATTTCAGAAAGTTACCCACTGCTTCTAGAATGCTAAATACTGCAGAAAACTTACTTGGAAAAGATTAGATACTGTTTTCAAAATAACACCTATTTTAACCTACTTGGACAGGCGGAATACTGCTTCCAAGACCACTTATTGCTTTCAAAGACTTTAATAATTGTTTGGAAACGAGATATGCTTTCGAAAAAGCTACCTACTGCTTCCAATATGCTAAATACTGATGGAAAAGATTACAACTGGCTTGGAGAAGACTAAATACTGCTGGGAGAAACTTTTATCTGCTTGGAAAGACAAAATACTGTTTCCAAAAGACTATTAACTAGTTTCGGAATGCCAAATATTGTTGGAAAGACTACTAAGTGCTTGAAGATTATAATAGTACTGGCTGAAGACTATTTACTGAAACTATTCTTCTGTTAAGTGATATAAGATCGTATTTTTGTGTAGATAACTGCTGTTATACGAGATTTTTAATCATGTTTTTGCAAAACATATAATTGTTTATAAAAGTAGAAATCTAATGTCTATATTTACAAATGTCAAATAAATTCCTACTAGCGCCATCTATTGAATAGATTTCATATTAAAAATAAATATTTTATATCAAAATGATTTACATATATTTAAATGAAATTTAAACAATTTATTTAAAATTAAATTAAAACATAAATAAAGTGATTATTTAATTGATTTAAAGGTTGTATATAATATAAAAACATTTATTTATTAAAATTTACCAAGTAAAGAACCGAATCGATAATAGAGGGCGCTTTCATTTCAAAATAAATTTAACATTTATGAATATGTCGGTTTTTTTAATTTTGATTGTTGATGTTATAATTAGTTGTTTTAATAATATATTAAATACATATAAAATGAAAAATTTAATAATTATTAAAGATTTATAATATCTCAATATAAATGCCAAATAAATTCATACATAGCGCCATCTATTGAATAGATTTCATATTAAAAATAAATATTTTATATCAAAATGATTTACATATATTTAAATGAAATTTAAACAATTTATTTAAAATTAAATTAAAACATAAATAAAGTGATTATTTAATTGATTTAAAGGTTGTATATAATATAAAAACATTTATTTATTAAAATTTACCAAGTACTTAATCGATAATAGAGGGCGCTTTCATTTCAAAATAAATTTGACATTTATGATTTTTTCAATTTTAATTACAAATAGGTTGTGCTTTACACATTTTTTTGGAAGACACTTCAGACATTTTAATAGAATCCGCAGCTTTTTCCGCAATCATAGCGACAGCAGCGTTAGTATTAGCACTAATTAGTTTAGGTATAACGGAAGCGTCAACAACGTAAAGTTTCTTAGCACCTTTAACTTTAAAATCGCGCGTAACGACGGCGCTTTCATCACTAAAACTTCCCATTTTACACGTTCCAACCGGGTGATATATCGTAAACGACATGTATTTTATGTAACATTTCCAATAATCATCAGAATCGAATGTAAAAGTCTTGCAAAAAGGGAAAATTTCTCGATTAAATCTTGCCCCTATCTTTCTCATTGGGGGCGTTTCCACGAGTTTCTTAATAAATCTAATTCCGGCTAATAAAATGTTTATGTCATCTTTCTCTGATAAATAATTTGGATTAATGATTGGTTTTGAATCGATTTTTGAGTTTTTTAATTTCACATAACCTCGACTTTTCGGTCTTAAAAGTATCGGAAGAAAACTTGCTGTGTAATTATTCACAAATTTTGAGTAATACTCTTTCCAAACGACGCTTTTTAAACCGACGATATGTCTCATTCTCATTCCATAATCAGTTGCTAATCCGGCTTGCATAAAAAGGAACTCGATATTAGGGCGATGATTAAATTCAGCCTCGCAAAGATCATAACCTATAACATTCTCTAAACAAAAAGTGTTTAAAAACGCTAAAACTTCGACTCCAACACTTGTAAGGATCCCGTTTTCTTTTAAAATGTATTTAAGTACTTCAACGGGCGAAACGAACTTTTTGTGAAAATCGAGGGGTTCTTCAAATATGATTAAGTCAAAACCTGTACTGATATGATCTTGTAAGTTATATCCTACAGGTAAATCGAGTTTAGCTTTAATCCCGATGCTTTGTAAATGTTTTTTAGGACCTATTCCTGATAACATTAACAATTTTGGACTTCCAATAGTCCCAGAACTTATTATAACCCCTTTTGATGCAAAAACATCGTATTTATCACCCGATTTTATAAAATTTACCCCATACGCCTCTAAATTTGCATTTAAAAGAATCTCTTTCGCCGTGGATTGGGTTTTAATGACTAAATTTGGCTGTTGATTTTGTAAAAGATGATGTATTGGAGTGAATCGTTTCCCATTTTTTATATTGATTTGAATCGGTGAGAACCCACTACTAAATTTTCCATTTACATCTCTAATCGGTAAATTTAAACAATTTGCTGCATTAAAAATTGAGTCGTATAACTCGGATTGATAAACCATATCGTCTACGATTAATGTGCCACCTCTTCCGTGATAATATTCGTTATTCGATTGTGACCCAACTTGATTTTCGGATTTTTTCATATAATACAAAATTTCTTGTTCGTAATTAAAGTCGCAATCGCAATCTATGAACCACTCTTTATAATCATCGGGGTGTCCTCTAGTGTAAAGCATGTGGTTTAATCTTCCTGAACCACCCAACACTTTTCCGCTTGGCCATGAACTCGACTTAAATGGTTTGAAAATAATTAAATAAAACGTCAAAAAATTGGGATAATTCAAGTAATCATCATGTGGCTTAAAAACCTGCTTGTAAGAGACTAAACATTGATTGGAAAAAGGAAATACAATTTCAAAAAGTTACCTACTGCTTCCAGAATGTTATATACTACTGGAAAAGACTAATAATTACTTGGAAAGAACAGATATGGTTCCCAAAAAGCTACCTAATGTTGCCAGAATGCTAAATATTGTTGGAAAGACTACTAATTGCTTGGAGATATTGTTGGCAAAGACTATTTAATGCTTTCAGAAGACTATATACTGCTGCCAATACACTACTAAGTGCTTGGAGGTTACAATACTACTGGCTAAAGACTATTTACTGAAACTATTCTTCTAAAAATCTCTTAATACGAGTACCGATTTCGGATATTTAATACTATCATCAGCTTAATCATTTTTTGGATCTTATTGGGTAAAATGTAGAATGAAAAAACTAAAATTACTTAAAAATTACCTACATAATATTAGAAAATGTTTACCAAAGACAGATTGTGAATATAAAAGGTTAGATACTGCTGTTAATAGGTGAAAAAGTGCTTCCTGAAAACTAAATACTATTGGCACAAGAGTAAATATTGCTTGTACAAGATAAATACGGTTGGAAGAATACCAATACTGCTTGTAGAACAATAAATACTATTGGCAGAAGATTAGAAACTGCTTAAAAAGGTAGGTATTATGCTTATAAAGATAGATATTGTCTATAAAAGGCTAGGTACTGCTACCAACAGACTAGAAATTGGTTGCAGAATACTAATATTGCTTGTAGAAGACTAAATCCTGCCAACAGAAGGGTAAAAACTCCTTGCGAAAGACTAATACTACCTATACAATACTAAAAAATGCTTGCAGAAGATAGATATTGTCTGTAAATGGTTAGTTATTGCTACCAATAGACTACAAATTGGTTGAAGAATACTAATATTGCTTGTAGAAAACTAAATACTGCCGACAGAAAAACTAAAAACTCCTTGCGAAAGACTAATATTACCTATACAATACTAGAAGTTGCTTAAAAGATAGATATTGTCTATAAAAGGCTAGGTACTGCTACCAACAGACTAGAAGTTGTTTGCAGAATATTAATATTACCTGTAGAGGACTAAATACTGCCGACAGAAGACTAAAAACTCATTTCAGAAGACAAATACTACCTATACAATACTAAAAAATGTTTGCAGAAGATAGATATTGTCTATAGAAGGTTAGTTATTCCTACCAATAGACTAGAAATTGGTTGCAGAATAATCTCAAATCAGCATAATCCGTCAAAAGATACACTACACCTGATCAACAGTTCAGATCTGCAAATTTATTTGATAAAGCCAAGGCCGGTTGAGGCCAAAGCACTGCAATAACAGTGGCAATATGATGACTAATTTCAGATAGAATGTTGGAGAGGGCTAATTTTGTTTACGAACGTCAATCATCACCGAAAGGAATGTTGTGAAAAGTCAGTTTTCTTAAGAAATGTTAATCATCCAGGGAAAAGAATGTTAACTTGGGTTAGTTTTGTTTTGAAACCCCAATTATAGCGTGAAAGATGTTAAGACAGATAGTTTTCTTTTGAAACCCTAATTATAGCGTGAAGGAATGTTAAAACAGGTAAATAGATTTAAGTTTATCAGATTGATTTTGTGTGTGGCTATAAAATAAATAAATTGTAGGTAAAGTAGGAATTAATATTGCTTGTGACGTCACATCGCAACTTTAAAGTGATTTTTCGGTATGTTCTACACTTTTCCGCACCTTCTCTTTATTTTTAACGTATTTTTTGGATCACTTCAAATTGATTAAAAAAAAAAATCGTGGATTTTTAAGCCACATGATGATTCTTATTTTTTTTTTTTTTTAATTATTAATTAAATTACGTTATCTTTAAACGCCCAACAAGCATTGTCTTGGGGAACAGTTTTATATTTCCAATCATAAATGGATTTATGTAATAAAGGTGTTATTAAGGGAATGTCTAATATGCTAGATTTTCCCATCGAACCTGCCTCGAGAAGTAAAACTTTATTGTTGGGGTTTTGGGATAATCTGAACGCTAAAATGCTTCCAGCTGTGCCTCCACCAACTAAAAATAAAGTAATATAGTAATAAGTTTAATTTAATGAAGTGTCTTACCAATGATGTAATCAAATTTGTATTCTTTATTTAAATCGATGAAAGATAAGGTTGTAAAAAACTCGTACCAATCTAATAAGCATATGTAGGTGCTAAAATTTAACAATAATGCGCAATAAACCGTTGCAAACGCAATTTTTCCACACATTTTCGTTTAATTCGATTATTATAACTTGATTGATATAATTTTCTTGTCATTTTTTTTAATTTTATAGGTTAAGAAGATTTCTATTTCTACTTATAAATGTTTAAATTTAAAACATTTTTATTTATTTTTTGAGGTTAGCCGAAAGAAAAATAAATTAGGTTATGTTATAACAAACCATGAACCCAAAAATAGAATAGATTAAAAAATGTATTCATTCTCGTTTATATATTAAATTAAAAATGAAATGAATTAAATAAAATAATAAATTAATTTGTTTATAATAAAAAATTAATTAAAAAGTGTCTATTAATATAACATCTAGATGGCGACACATCACATTTGACACGTTTGACATATTCGACATAAAAACATAACCTAAAAATGTCAAATTTAACCACAAATTATTTAAATAGTTTAGGAAAAGATTTATTAAACGTAGAAAAGTGTCGGGAATTATTAAATGAGCGTAAGAAAATCGTGGAAAATACAGAGAAAGCGGTAATTCGTTAAAACGTGTTTAAAAATTTAATTAAATCGTATAACTTTTTAGTTGGATGTTAATGATGAAGAATCAAAAGTGGGAAAAGTGATTAAAATCATAAATAACGATACGAAAAGATTAGAAAAATGCCTTAATAGCTCAGAAAAATTAATAACCGACGTTGATTTGCATTTGATTGAAACGAAACGTTTAAGAAGCGACACTCACGATTACATCGATAAAATCTCGAATTTAGAATGTCTTATACAATATATAAAAATAATACAACGAGTGGAAAAATTAAGGTAAGTAAAAATTTAATTCACTTTAAAAAAAAATATATATATATAAATTTTTTTTTAGTAAAGAATTAGAAAAAGAAATGTTAAACGATGATGACGAAAAATGTGCAACAATTTTTGCAAATCTCTGCGATATAAGCGGTCATTTGATGAGTTTGAACGCCCCACATATAAAACAACACTTCAAAGAAACTCTGTATCATTGGCACGAAGTGTTAAAAGAAAAATTTTCAATGAAATTCGAGGATATTTTAAAAAGTTTAAAATGGCCCTTTGTCAACACCAATTTCAGTCTACAAACGCCATCTCCTACAGTTATACAAAAATTGCAAATTATTGCTGAGTATTTACTTCAAATTGAACTTCCTGAAGAATCGGTTAAACCCATTATAACCTCAGCTTTGTTATCTAATTTTCCTCCATTATCTTTGCCTGTATATTATTTGGTTAGCCCACTTCGTAAAAGATTTATATATCATTTTCATGGAACTAGACAAACTAATCGTGTTGATAAACCAGAATGGTAAGTAATAAAGTTGTTCTCTAAAGATGTTTTTTGTGTAATTAACTCAGCATTAGTCTAAAAGATGTCTTAACAATGAAATAATATAGCTTTAAAGTTGTCAAACTGTATAAATAACAGATTAAACTTTCTAAACTGAGATAAATATAAAATAAGAAGCTAAAAACTGTCAGCCCTGCATTACAGAAATCTGTAATGTTCTTCTACTGTTGATTTGTTATCCAAAAATGAATAACCACCTTTATTATCACCTGATTACCTCTAAACCTAACTTATATGTACATTTTCTAAATAAACTATATAATAATACAATGGACCAAAGGTATGATTTGATAGAGGTGCTAAAATATATGTACAGGATGGCCCAAATTGGACACTTAAAACAAAACTTCTATAACCTTCTATAAAAGGTAGAGGAAAAATGATATCAGTGTTTGAGGCTCGATTTTTATAACAAATTTAATGGCGAAAACCGCATATCGATATCTCTTACAGTTTCAGAGATAAAAAACTGCATTTTCGAATTTGCAAATATATACAGGTGTCCCACTCTTTGCATGATTTTGATTCATTCTCAACAACTGCAACAGATAAGTATAGAGACATGTACTAAAGATTTGTACAATCAAATATGGGGTGTTCCATTAAAAAATTTTCGACTTTTTTGCAATTGAATATGGTAAAACAGTAGTTACATTTTTGAACACCTGTATAAGATAGACCGATGTAGCCAATGGCCTCTATTTAAGGATATCTAAGCAGCAATTGTCACAAAAATGTCAATATCATTTTGACATATTCTTAATTTTTATAAAATGTCTTAACATTTGCCACAAAAACAAAAATTTTATTAAAAAAAAATCAAAAATTGAGGTTGCTATTAATATTTAAAAATTAAATTGCTATCTTCGAGTTTTATGTTTTTTATTCTAACTTTTTTGTTTTTTGAGATAAGTGCGTCATGTTTGGACTCATTTTAAAGGTTTTTTAAGATAAATGCGTTATTTTATGAAGATTACTAATCGGTTTTAAGAATAAAACTAGAACTAGAAACATTCGGGTAAATAAATAAATTAATTAATTAGTTAAGTATACTAAAATCTTAATATGACAGAATTTTAAGTTTGACATTGACAGTATTGGGGTATTACGATTTTAGTGATTTTGTAAATTAGGTAAAGTGACATTAAAAAAATAATTTGACAGTCACAAATTGTGTGTCAAATTTTGAATTCGCTACTTTTTAGTTCTAGATTTTTTTTTGTTGTTATTTAATGCCAGGTTATTGTATATTTTTATCGAACTAACTCTAGACTTGGAACTAGAAGCATTCAGGTATGTCTTTACTGACTAGAACTAACATTACTTAGTCTAGTGTCAGTTCTGTCAGTGTTAGTTCTAGTTTTAATTGTTATTCAACGCTAGATTGTTGTTATTTTTATTGAACTAAAAGTAGAAGTTGAATTAAGATGTCAGTTTGAAAAGTAAAACTAGAACTAACACTAGATCTAGAATCTTTTTAGTTCTAGGTCTAGTGTTAGTTCTAGTTTTAGTGTAATAAAAATATGCAACATTACTCGTATAGCTTTGTCTCTAAAGAGTTCATAGCTTAGAGCTTAACATTATAAGGCACTATTAGTCAACATCAGCATGTACAGAATCGGCAAAAACTTGGAACATCACTATATCATGTGCCAAATTCCAACAAAATCTTCTTACTAAAGCCTAGAAGAAGTTGGTGATCAAACAACCACTCCACACTATTAGCTAAAACTTCCAATATCTTTCTGAAGCATGCCAGAAATGATATATGACAAAGATGTACTCATTTCTACTTGCATACAACATTATGTGAATTTCTTTTTAGGTATTTTACCCAAATTTTATCATGGATAAGGGATCACGTTGATTTTATCGAAAAATATATTCAACCAATTGTAGACAAATTAGGATTACATCATGTAGATGCAAAAGTAATTAACCACGATTAAAACAAATCAAAAAAATTAAATAACTGTTGTTTTAGTTAGAATTTATGAGAGGTTTGGTTCAATTATCCGTTGAAAAGTTACATTCCGATTTACCAAACTTACAATTCGACGATTTCGTTTTTTCCCACTCAATCGATGAAGCTTTAGGTTTCGAAAAAGAGTTGCGAGAAACTTACAATTACCCACCAACCCAATCGAGCATTTTAGCCGTTTTAACCCAACCTCACGTCTTCGTCAAGTGGAAAAACATGGAAAAAAAATACGCGACAGAAAAAATGGATTTAATGTTATCTCCGAATTCGGCCTTTCAAAACATCATTTCCATCGAAACGGATGAACATAAAATAAATCAATGTGCCGATACTTTCGTAACTTTATTACAAACAATTACGGAAAGATACGAATTGTTACAACAACCTGGACATCGATTGCAATTTCTTGAATTACAATTAGAATTGTTGGATGATTTTCGAGTTCGATTATCTCAATTGACGAATGCGGAAACGGGAAATTGCGTTTCAGACTTGAAAAGTCCGATGATTGCGAATACTTTGTATTATATTGAGAATGTTTTGATCGATTGGAGCAACACTTTACACTTTTTAAGTTTGTATTATTATAAAAGTCAAAAAGCTGAAGATTTCGATGATTTTGAAATTGAAATGGAAACTATTTTTACGCCCATTCTCTCTTTATACCGTCACAAAAGATTCGAAATTCTCTCCAAGTTAGGAGAAATTGTTTTAGGTGAAGTTAAAACAAGAAGTACAGAATATCAGCACGAAATATGGTCGAGGATGAATCGAGAACATAAAGATATATTATTTTTAACTCCTTCGGCTTGTCCAATGTTTGAAGTTTTAGGAACGCGATTACATCAATTACAAAACGCTCTTTCGCCGAAGTTATTTAAATTCGTTTGGCATTTAATTGCGAAACAATTAGATAATTATTTATACGAGAATTTAGTGGTGGATACTCGTTTTAATAAAGGAGGAGCTTTACAATTACAACATGACGTAACGAGGAATTTATTTCCGTTATTTTCACAGTTTTGTGAAAAACCAGATAATTTTTTTCCATTGTAAGTAATTTAATTAAATCATTTTTAAATAAAAAAAAATATTTTTTAGGTTAAATGATACGTGCGTTTTATTAAATTTAGCAAATGGGAGCGCTTTACATCTAATAGAAAATTTAGTCAGCTTGGAAGGGGCTACGGGAATTGAAGATCAGAGGGGGGCTGCTTTAAAAGATGTTGGAGTTATTAGTTTTACTCCATCGATGGCTTTGCAGATTTTAAATCAACGAGCGGATATTACCGTTGATAGATTGGCGATTGATTAAGATTAATAAATAAATAAAATTTATTTAGTTTGATTTAATGACGTAACCTCAATTTTATATTTGGCTAACTTCACATGGAAACAAATATTTTTGAGGAAGATTTTCGCTATAATGAAAAGAATGAAGTTCCTCTGAACATCATTGTCCAGAATGAAGCGTTTGTAATAACTGAAAAGTCTAAGTTCTGCGGTCTTGAGCGTTAAGGAGGATTTTCGCTATAATGAGTCAATATTTCGGCCTTATTAGACACTGAACTATGCTGATAGCAGACACCTAATTCCTGTGTCAGCCCTGATAAGTGCACCCAGTTCAGAATTTATTCGTTCTTGAGCAACATTAATAGAATTTATGTGAAAACTATAAACTAACTGAGTGTCGTCAGCGTACTTATAAGCTCAGCAGTGCTGGAGCGTATGTATGTATGTAGTTTCACGTGGGGGTGAGTTTCTTCACAGCACTTAGGGCCCTTTGCACGTCCCCACAATTACTGATCATTCAAGGGTCAGAAAACCAGTACAATCTTTTCATGAACGTTAATATAGAACAGAAAGGTATGTTCCTTATATCCGAAATTTGGAGCCAAGGTACTCCGAAAATGGATTCCCTTAAGTACGCGAGGTTGGGAGAGTCACAACAATATCACTTATCGTCTCGTCTTCGCCAGCTTCCGGTCAGGAAGTGGGTGAGAAGTCTCAAGTCACTTTTTGATTTTCCTAGAAACTGAGTAGATCTCTTCCAGTCAGGGTAGTCTTAGCAAAGACACCTGTTGCTGTCCCATCCCATCTGTTGCAAAAAGCTCAATGGGAGATGGAGTTTATCAGCTTTGATGCTGTATTAACAGCTAATGGTACAAACGGTTCAGGGGAGATCGGTGACTTGTTAGCCACCCATTTCGCCAGCCTGTCTGGATGATCATGTGTTTTAATTCCGATGTGCCACTTTATCGCGACGTTGTTGTATGACGTTTGCCTCCTCGAGTGATTGCTGACAAGACTTCACCAACGATAATGTATTACGTTTCTGCCGACTTTTTTGGAGTCGATATGTTTATAGCAGTTATTTCGGCTTGAACAGTCATGCAATACGATCCTAACGAAGTGGAAAGGTGAAAATTCCCGCTCCGGAACCTCCAGCCTTCTTTGATCCATCAGTGAGTGACATCAGTGACATGAGTTGCTCTGGGGTATCGTTTCAATGCCAAAGTGTGACTTGCCTAAGAAAGTAGGTGTAATGTAGTCTGCGCGAGCTTTAAGGAAGGGTTGTTTACGAACAGCCTCACTCCAGAGCTTGCTCCGGACTATTCCTATTTTACAACCTACTTATCATTTACTGACAGCAATCGAAGCAACACCATCACGGCCACCTTCCTGATAAAAATATCTAGGGGCAGCACGTTCAGCATAGTCTCCATCGCAATCGTAAGTGTAGATCTCATAGCGCCTGTGATTAGGTAGGCATTTACAGGTCATTTACATTACCGGTCTATTACAGGCAGAGCCTTCGTCACTGGCTCAGTACAATCGTTGCTTTTTTGGTTTTGCAATTAACGTGTGATGTCCAAGTTAATCGTTTGTCTAAGATAACACCAAGATATTTCACCTCTGGAGCAAAGGTTATTACAGAAATTGGGTGGAGTTAAGTGTCCCAGTTTCTTCTGTTTAATGAAAAAAAAACAGTCTCAGTCTTTTTAGGATTGAACAAGTTTAAGCGCCTGCTGCATTCTGTAACAAAGAAAATTGTCAGGTTCACCTCTTAACAAAATAGCTACACGTCTCAAATAACCACAGCTCTTTGTACTGTTGTGATGACCAATGGCACTCTTCGAAATTCCAGTGCCAGATTAATGCTACTAAAGGTGTAGTAAAAGTAGCTACTAAAGTGCTACTAATGTTCACATAGCCTTTCAAGTATCTTTAAAAGAAATGATGAGAGACTAATTGATTTGATAATGTCGCGATCATATAGAGATGGAGGACTAGATGATTTCTATGTCTGATGATGAACAGGATGGTTCTTGTAGATCTTCAAGTAGTAGTGCTTCTTCTTCTGTAGCTGTAAGTGAGAATCATTTGCTTAATGAAGCAATGAACTTCGTTAGGGATACTTTAGTTATGCGTTGCAGTATCTCATTTTCTTCTTGATGTTCACCCAAAGCAACTTTGTTGTTCAGACAGCATATTTAACGCTTGAATGCAATGTAAGTCATAAAATTTCTCTAACATAACCAGTAAACTGTTCTGAATTTGCCTTCAGAGAAAGTTTTTGGAATATCTGCAAATCATCTTGCTCATAAACTTTCTCTGATGTTTTGAAAGGTAATAAAGATATGAAATGGCAAGCCATCTTGAGCAGTCATACGGGCCAACACTTCTGAAAGTTTATCTTTCTTCTTGATTTTGAAATTCTTTTCTTTGATTTTTTCGTCACATTAAATTCATGAGTTGTTTTCAAATGGGTTGATGGTCTCTGTGATCTCAACCCCGCTTCTTCAAATCTCCTTCTTACTGTGCTCTCACGTTCACCCGACGCACTTACTACAGATGATTTCTTATCTCAACTTCTGTGGTATGTCGATTTTGTAACACAGTCATTATTACAATATATCTATCATCACGAGGTTGTGTGCTGCATCTTCTTCCTGACTCAGGTTGTCTGATGAAGGTGCCAGTCTAGCAGCATAATGAGTCCATCTTCCACCAAAGTCACTAGTTGAGCAATTCTACAAGACTTAAAGGCAATCAACGACGTTAACGACACTAAACGTCATTGTGACTGAAACGTTTTCGTCAATTTCCATGGCTACAACTGTACAAACTTCTTATGTCATCATTTTAGGTGATGCTTTTTTTATGCCTCTGATTGTATTATTAAATTATAAAATAATAAGGCCCACTTTTACCATCCTCCTGATAAACTATCTAGAGGATAGTTGCCATGGTTACCACGGTTTTAAGCGCTCTCATTGGCTAAGAACTGGATTTATCTATCGGATAAATTTATCGGGAGGTGGTAAAAGTGGGCCTAAGTGGTTTATTTGTTTATTTTGGTTAAAATCAAAAAATAAATTAATTTTAATCGAAGTTTCGAACCAAAACCGTTTTGTTGACGACTTTATAACATGAAGCGATAGATGGCGCTACCGTTTCTATTTCGTGCTGTCATTCGGATAAAATAATACGCAAGATCTGTCTTCCGTCACGTTTTGAGACCACCCGATTTAAATAAGCCTACGTACGCATCTACAATCGGTAAGTTAACCACATGCACTCTTATTTTATCGATCATCAACCACGTGTTGTGCGCACGTAATTTGTAAACAAACAAAAACCGATAAAATTGTTTGTTAGGTTAGAGTTAATGAACGAAAAATAATTAATAAATAATAGAACAAATCTATTAATTTAATGTATTAATATATAATTTAACGAAAATTTCGTTATAATCAGTGTTGTAATAATAATAAGGGGAAAAATTTAATGTGGTTAATACGAAATTAGAGAAAACAGATGAATAAAAATGGCTGTTTTGAAATGTAAAGATGATTTCAAAATTGAGCGGCAAAATGTGAAAACAAGTTGGCTTTGGTCGGACGAGCGCTTGCTCAACAAAATATACAACGAGAGCGAGACACGAATTTGATGTGTCATGTTATCGCGGTCGGCCGTGGCGTGGCTTAGCAAGCAGCGGCTGTGACGTCAGCACGTTGCTATTCCAGTCGACACGAACCCAAGCCTACTCGATCCTCTCTACACCACACTGTTATTTAACGAACTTCGTTTTAAAAACTTTCGACTGTTTTTAATAAATAAAACATTTTTATCAATTTAAAACATAAATTGCTACAATAAACACGAAATAAATTGATTTAACAAAATTAAATAAGAAAAAATTAAATTTTTATTAGAAATCTCGGTGGAGATAGATTTTTATCACGTGGATAACCACGTGCGTTCGTTTATTACCTAAGTAGTGGTGGTCATAAACAAGTATAGAAACACTTGTTGCAATCGTGTGTTTTCCACACGGTTTATATTTTGTATGGGTATTAAAATTAAATTTTTTTTTTGAAATTCTATGGAAATTCTTGATTTTATTTATGTGCGTCGTCGACCGTATCGATTTGAGCGTCGGCGTCGCTTTGAAACCTAGCGTCGCGACGGCAAACAACTCGGCTACCTAAAAACGATTTTCTTTGTAAACTTTAATTCAATTAATTTCTTTAAATTAACTCCTTTGTATTTATAGATACCCACATAAAATGTTTTAAATTTTCATCGTCAACATTGTGACGCACCCACCATTAATGTATTAGAGTGTCAAAACACATTTAGTTTTCTAGAAGTGTAGGTGCTACTATAGGTCCAACTGGTCATGGCTCCAACATGGTCTTCTTCCACTGCGCACCATTGGTGGTATTTTTTCTGCCCACTAATATTTAGGTGTATAGTGTAAGGAACCAAAAAGGTCATCCAACCAATTACAGAAGATGCATAGTCCCAGTAGTCAATACAAGTGCAAAAAAGAAAGTCTTGAGAAATTTAAGCAGTTACTGGTCAAGTCCAAAAGCAAGAAGATAACGTTTCTAGCCAAAGACTCTCGTCAACAAATAATTGAGAAATTAATTAAAATGAAGTTATTCCCGACAATCGTAATGCAAGAATTGCAAGCTGCCATAGATATAAAAAATATACAGTCAAAGGTGGCTTAAGGCTTCAAGTTATGATGGTGCCACGATTAAGTAATCAATTGAATATAATCAAGACATGTAATTATTATCTCTTCTGATTGTCCACCTAGATATGCTTTAAAAATGAAATACCAAGCAGTAAATCAACGAAAATATGAAACATTATCATCTGGCAAGCCGAGGCATTAAACTACAGACCTCAATAAAGTCTCAGATCTAATTGTTTACATAAAATGCAACACGTCAATATAATTTGACACTAGTAATATTTTGATATAACAAAGAAGAGGGAAATCAGAATCATCTTGGGAAGATGGCGCTCGAAATAATAATTTCAGGAATATCTCCGTTCCTAGTATAAGTATAAACAGAATTAAATTCTGCGTAACTTTTGATTTAATAGACGTATTTATCTCGACGGGTCCAGAAAAACTACGTGGATTTAGTATTGATACTGACCTGAAGAACATTTCGCAGATATCATTATGATAAAAATTATCTACAAAAGAACCTAAATACTAATGAATAATAATGAAAGAGAGTGCTTCAATAGCAAGAGTTGTTAAAATAAAAATTTGTGTGCTGACCAATACTTATTTTTGGATGCTAACACTTGCATCTTAACAAAACAACTGAGGATTAAGGCACAAGGAGTGTAAACGTAATAATTGAAAAGATATAAAACGTTAAAGTTGTATTAATGGCCGAGCATTTCTTACGATATACGGTATTGCACTACGTTTAAATTCAAACTGCGAATATTCGGGGTTACTAAAACAATGCATAATTAGCACCAATAATAAAATCTATGTAAATAATCCTATTAAGTAGTAATAAGTATAAAAAGAGTGGTGTTTTTGCACTAAAAAGTTATATGATATTTGTGACTCCTATTCCACCTATAGGACCATCTAGTTTTGTTGCTAAAATAATTTCGATGCAGTGTGCATAAAATGACAAGACTTGGGTTGGACAAAACTTTAGCATCATCTTTTTTGTCAGGTTAGGTTAGGTTGGTATCGTGTTTCGATGGAAAATGTAATGAAAAACGATCAGAAATATGTAGTATGTCAGAATTGTCAATATTCTAGCTTCCATCCAATTTATTTCTCTTCTCTCCAACGCTTTCCTCATAGCTTCATTCCATATCTATCGCAGTCCAAACTTTTTGCACCAATCTATTACTATTCATTCTTTGTAGATGGCCCCATAAGCTTAACTGTTTTTTCTGGAATTACAATTCTTGCCTTATTAGCTATGTTTCTCAATCTATCTATATATCTATCTCTTTTCTTCTCCAATAAGCACTCACCTCCTTCCTCAATACTCTCACAACATATTACAATAATGTCGTTATCGCTGTCTATTTGTTATTATTTCTCCTCATAAATTAGCACCTTCCAACATTCACAATTTTCTTTACCTTCCAATACTACCAACTTATTTTGAAGTCCTCGCATCCTTAACCTTAATCATACCTTAATCACAATCTAATACTATTCTCATCCTAGATACTCGGAATCAATGTTACCCCAACCTAGTTCAATACAGCCAGATAATTACTACTTCCAATAACTATTGTAAGCTGATATATCAACAATTCCTGGACGAAGGTTTTAGATGAAAACTCCAAAGACGAAGTACGCAAGACAAAGATGGCGTATTTTATTAATATCGATTAAGGCGAGTAGCTATAATACAGTAGATATAGTATGATTACAGAGAACTCAATGAAAATAGTTGATGTTGTAATGAAATTTTTAACTTTCGAATGATACGCTGCCTTCCCTGCGAATACTTAATTCAATATTAGAATTGAATTGATTGTTATGATATAATCTTGGCTACACTAACCCATCATTCAGAGTTATAATTGCAAAACAAAAACTTCAATATTCAACAAAGATTGTTATTAATAAAGGAATGAACTGCGCAACACTTAAATACCATCTCGTAGCGAACCTATTTGGCAATACTGAGATTATGATTATAGAAATTAAAAAAAAAAATAATTTTCTACAACGATGTTAAGATATTATTAGTTTAGATGAGGATATTAGGATAAGAAAAGGAAGCTAATAGAACAAAAAGAGACATTCTATATTTATGATTACGTTGGGACAACCTTGGCCGACCTTGACCGTGACGAAACCTGCTACTACACACTCCTCACACCAACTACAATTGAACTAGTACTAAAACTGAATCACCACCGATCCCCGAACAGAAGTGAGCACCAGCAAAATACGATTCACGCGTCGCATCGCGCCGTCTTCCTCTCCACGCGATGGACATCGTCGTCCTTTTTCGTCGACGCCGTGGTCTGACTCTGATTTTCATGAATAAAACGCATCCGCGACACGATTTACTGAATGGGCGCGTAAACCGTAACACACACACATACATCTATATACCTACCGGAGTTTGCTTTCTTCTTTTTCACTCTTATTTTCCCTCCCTCCTTCTCTTTCACTCGTTTTACGATGTATCGCTCTGTTTTGATGTGTTAATTCCTACATAGTCTTTTTGTTTACTTTCTTTTTATGTCGGTTTTGTGTTTTCTAAAAAATAGAAATAAAACTGAAATTATTTCACTGTGAAGAGTACGGTTTTGATATTTTATGAAAGATTTGTCAAAAAAATTGGAACAAACTTTTAGGCAAAAAAATAGAAAGTTTTGGAACTTTCTCTTTTTTTAACGCACGTTAAAATTTGCTGTAATGTAATTTCGTTTGAAATAAATAAAATTGTTTTATTCTATCGTATTGACGCCTCCGATGGAATATCCCAAGTTGAATCGGGGCCGCCCCCTCCTCCATGTTTCTCCCGGGACCAACGGTGCCGGTGTTGGTGTGGTCCTTTTTTATAATTCGAGACGAAGCCCTCGTTTAAAACCGCGCGTCTTCGGTACTGCTGTTGCCTGCGGGCTACAGGGTGAAAACCGTCCTTCTCCTAACAGTTTACGCAGAACTGAAAGTACTAAGAGAGAAAAGAGAAGGAGTTTGAGATAACGGAATAAATGAAATGAAATGAAATCGCGCTGTTGCCACATTTCCAACATATCCTTTTGTGTTGTAAAAGTTTTATTTTGAACACTCTGTACGTTACGAAGAAGGACAATAAAAATAGACTCAACTTCTCCAGCCTTGCATACTTCAATTTTACGCTTGGTACTTGTTTGTACTACGTTCTGCTGATTTGCATCGCAAACGCTATAATTGGTGTTACTCTGGTGTGCGAGAAATTTATTAATAAAGCAAGTAAAAGTTGCAAATGAAACTAATTTTTCAGCAAAATAGTATATCCTTACTTCGTCTGTGAATGTGAGTGTGATTAAGATAAGGTTACTTACGGTTGCAAATATATATATGAACACTTTTTAAGAAAGCGTGGTATAATTAAGCCGAGGTCGCTTGCGGCCGAGGCAATAGCGCCTATACATATATTAATGCTGCATTGATACCCACCTGTATAGTTTTTAAGGTAGGAGGCTTAATTAAGCCAAAGTCGCTTGCGGCCGAGGCAATAGCGCCTATATGTTGATGCTATAACACCTGGATAGTTTTTAAGGTTATGAGGATAAATTAAACCGAGGTCGCTTGTGGCCGAGGCGTGACATCAATGATACAAAATCAAACAATAGTCAAGAATGCATGATACTATGCCGAGATCGCTTGCGGCCGAGGCATTTTAGCAATACCATACAGATACAAAACAGATAATTGTTAATATTATATGGTATAATTAAGCCTGTATTGATGCACACCATGCAGATTGTAAGGCTATGATGCTAAATTGAGCCGAGGCTTTACATAGATACAAAACTAAACAGTTATCAAGAATTGTTGGTATAGTTAAACCGAGGCAATAGCGCCTATATTGATACCATATGGATATAAAAGCAGCACTATTCTCAAGAATGTGAGGCTTAATTAATCCGATATCCTTTGAAACCGAACACTATGTCACTTCTATCTCTATCTCACTTGCCACTGAGGCTTTGCATCGATACAAAGCTGTGTTTTAAATTTTATTATTTTGCAGTCAAAGTTATATGGATCGAATGCATGGAATTCATTTCCGTATGTTCTGTCAATTCTTTGTCATAATGTTATTTCCATACCGATATATTAGGCATCACGCCATTGAGGTTCGTGATCCTCCTAAATAAGTACCTATCTAGTTCTTTACACTTTTTGCATCATCCATGTTTGTCTTTATCATTCTTTTATATTTTGGCAGTTCCATTCGATATTCGACCTGCTTCCTTGGTGTATCTTGATTTAGCCATTACCACATAGTTTTGTTGTATTATTTTAATGAATCAAAGTATGTGTCCCAAGATGCGCTCTTTATTTCTAAATTAAAAAAATTTACATAATAAATTGTACGATTTTTAAGAAATTTAATTTTGTTATAAATAAGTTATCTGTGTTATCTAAACGATTTTTTTAGAATCACTCTGTATACTAGGCGTTTCGTTCGTTAAGTTACAGGCTGCCAAAGACCGTAGAGAGAGGTCGCGACGGTTGAAACGGGTATCTACAGTGGAAACAAGAATACGAAAGAGAGAAGGAAAATAGTCGATTATTGGATGAAGATAGAGAGAGTTGCGAACGCTTCGGCGCACACGACAACGAGTATTTAGTGTAAAATTGGCAACGTTGCCTTTGAGAACGTCAGACGTCGCACGTTCGGGCCGGGGGAAGGATCATCGAGGACACAACACGTTGAGTTCGAGTCCCACATTTGTGTGTGTGTGTGTGGCTGTATGTATGTGTGTGTTTCGTGCGTGTGCGCGCGTCGCTTTCTGTGTGTTGCTGGTTTAGGTTGGGTTTGTATGCGAGTTCGATAGTGCTGCCTCCGTGCGACCATCCACTTAACTATTAGTCGGCCTTTAACGGGCACCAGAGTCGTGCACACAACGGAACGAAAACCCCGAAAAATAAAGAGGTTATATATTAAAATTGAAACAAAAAAAAAATTGAAACTCGAAAACAAAATTAAAAAAAAAAACAATTTCCAAGTAGGCGTGGTTAGAAGTGTTTTTTTTATTTTTTTGTTTTATTAAAGAAGAAAGTATGGCTTCAACGAAGGATACGGCAACGTTCTTCCATCACGGTACCAGTACCCAATTCGAACGGGTTCTCACCCTTTATCCTCAAGCGCTCCGCCTGAAAGCCGAACGGAAAACGAAGAAACCTGAGGAACTGATAAAATTGGATAACTGGTAAGTTTGGTAGTGGTGGTGGTTGTAGTGACGGACGACGACGCGAAACTAAAATATCAAGTAATCACGTTGAATCAAGTAGAGACGGTGGATGAGGAGGTGTCATTGAACTTGTTCACCCACCCCAACCCAATTTAAATCGAAACAAAATCATCTCACGGTTGTTGTTGTTGTTATGAGTGTGGTCGCGATTCGATCAAAATCGCACACACACTAAGCACGCCACCCCCCTACATTATCTTTACGCGATTGTAAACGCAGCCAAGTTGATATTTTTATTTTTTTTTTGCTTTAGTTTGTTATGAATTGTAGTGAGCTGTGTGCGTTTAATCCCGATTAACGAATTTATTCGCGTTTCTAGAATGGAAACATATTGTAATATGGCGTCTCTGTTTCGTATCAGTTCAATTTTTAGTTATTATAAAGAAAATATCTAAAACTACATCAAACACTTCGAATATAAAACATTCTTAGGATATGATGAGTATCATAAAAACATTTTTTATCGAAATTTCCTTTGTAAAATCAAATTTATCCAAGTCGGCGGTTGCCTTTCAAAATGGAGCCCAGTTAAACAAAAGCCGTCTACCTCAAACATGGATATAACGGATATTATCGCTTATAACGTCCAAAATTTTTTCAAAAATGTATAATAACATTAACAAATTTGATTTACTCAATATACTACTAATTAATTAAGTATTATACCTTAATGATTTTAAGTGGGGGGGGGATAAGACTAATAGAATATACCTAATATAATATAATAAAGACACGGAAAATATTTAACTAAAGACTAAAACCCCTTCGGAAGGTTTTTAGTCCTTCCTGTTAAAATAAGAATTTAGCTTCCCGGAAACGAACGTTCCAAGCCGACGGAGACACCGCCATGGAAAATTCCCACATCGTGTTGTTGACTCAGTCATTAATTTCCGACTATATTTTATTTTACTTTAATGTATCTAAAAAAAAAAAAGTTACAATTAAAATATATTTTAAATAAAGGTATCAAAATGAGCTGCCGAAAAAGATAAAAAGTCGAGGAAAAGACGCGCACATGGTTCACGAAGAGCTCGTTCAAACGATGAAATGGAAACAAATCCGCGGAAAATTTTACCCGCAACTATCGTATCTGGTCAAAGTGAACACTCCGCGAGCTGTAATGGCAGAAACCAAGAAGGCCTTTAGAAAACTGCCCAATTTGGAACAGGCGATTACCGCCTTGTCGAATTTGAAAGGAGTCGGGACAACGATGGCATCAGGTAAAAAAGAACGACGTTATAATGAAATTGTAAATGATTTAATTCCGATTGTTTAGCTTTATTGGCTGCTGCGTGTCCGGAAAGTGCTCCCTTCATGGCTGACGAGTGTCTGATGGCGATTCCGGAAATCGAAGGTATCGATTACACGACCAAAGAGTACCTAAAGTTCGTCAATCACATACAGAACGTAGTCGAGAGGTTAAATAAAAACCCGAATACGACGAATAAATTTAGTTGGTCACCTCATAAAGTCGAATTGGCTATTTGGACCCATTACATTGTGTCTGAACTTAAACCGGAATTGCTCTCTTGTAAGTATTTAATAAATATCTTTTAGCCATGCATTTTTGTAGTGTCAAGAATATGTTATCTATTTTTTATTTAGTTAGTAGCATTGAAGAAGCCAAAGTCTAAAACATTCAAATCAGGACTATTCTGTGATTTGAGTTTAATCCATCTCTTGATCCTTCTGCCAGCAATTCTGCGTCGTTTTCATAAGATTGTGGTTTTGTATTATCTTGTTGAACATAAATTGTCTTGGCTTAATCATCTTTTTGCATTCTGCAGCGTTAATAGACTCGATGTTTTTGGACATCATTGTTCCTCTTGCCCAGTTCTTGCAGGTTTTTTATAAACAAAAGGAGAGATTGAAATACTGTTTTCTGGCACTGGCATAGTATGGTCTGGCCACTGCAGCCATAAACATAATTTTAGTTATGAGCCGTTTGCTTTTGCAGTGCCTTTCTGGTTCTGCTTCGTCAAACTCCGAATTGTGCCACGACGATTAAGTGAAGTTTTTTTGATTTTATCCAAATTCTCCGAGTAATTTTTGCGCTTTCGGCCAAAATACCTTTTTCTGGAAGCCACATTGGCACAAATATTTCCTTCGCCATATTCCAAATACGCGTACCAGTTAGCTGGGAAACATCAAACTTCGTTTTGTGGTGTAACAAAAACTGTAAAATTCCAGTACGCTGTTCACACATTAGTCTTTACGCCTCTTTTGTAAATTTCCTGGAAAATATCTCCCACAGTTTTCACACAAGGGGTAAAGATTTTATTTCTCTTACAATTTATTTTTCTCAATTTATCTTTTTGCATGCAAAAGAAAATGATTTTGTTGGAAAAACTTACAGAAATATATCAATACATCCAAAGCTGGTGGCACCTTTGTCATTGAACAGCTTTTTTTGAGTAATCCCTGAAAGGTAAAAAAAAACGAATTATTTGAAATTCAACACAATTCATAAAGTAGTTAATAAGTATTTCTACACATGACGCATTTTGAAATATCTTTCTAGCAACAAATTTAAAAATATTTACATGTTAGAACAAGATTTTAGCATTCTAAAGTATTACAGGATAAGTATTCCACATTTAGTATATATAGTCTCTTTACAAAGACTGATAATCCAACTGGCTATAATGGTGTGTGATAAATAACCAAATTGGCTAGAATTGCGCTGTGCAAACATTTCGTAGCGCTCCACCTCCCTCATAATATGTCCGTTGTACTGAAGCTTCTATTCTTTAATGGTTATCAGGAATTTCTTACTTTTGCCCATCTGTTGGAGTATCTCCTCATTTCTTATTCGGTCTATCCATGATGCATAGAATGCAATGGTTTAGATACATCTTCAGTACTTACTAGCGATTGCTTGAGTGTTCAACTCTCAGCTCCATAGAGAAGGACGGCAAATATATAACAACACAGCAAGCGCACAAAGAGCTGCGGGCTTAGCTCTGAATTTGTGCAGAGAGTCTCCATAGAGATAAACATTCTTCTGGCCTGGTTGATTCATGATAGGATTTCTTGATGTCTATGGAAATCTTTAGAATTAAATTGGAATCTTTTTGAAATGTTGAGGCAACCTTAAGAAATCATTTAGTAATTCCAGAGTATATTTGGACACTTCTGAACAGCTTTACAAAATGTATAGGAACTCTCTGAAAATCATCTAGAAATCCCAACAAACCTACAGAAATTGTAAAAGACCTTAATTGGAATCCGTTGATGTTTTTGAAAATCATCTGCAAATCCCAAACAATTTTCCAAGTTCTAACATATCTTCACAAGTCTTTTGCGTTTCGCTTTCTCTAAAATAATATTTGGCTAATATTTGAAGGTCTTGCCAATTCTTTCTCATAATAAAGCTTGTTCCATCCTAATCAAGATCCTATGGGCTGTAGACTTATCATGGTGTTCAATCTTGAGGAAGTTTGGCGTTATTTTCTTCTCTTTTTTTTTGGATCCTTGGAAATATTCCAGTCAACTTTAGACAATCTATAGCAATATGCAAACCCTTTGACTTCTTCTTTCTTTCTACGTGTGGTAAATACAACTTGCCTATTTTCTTCCTATCCCTCTTTGGATGAAGATGTTCAACATTCTCTGCAGTGTTCTTGCCGATCTTTGAAGGCCTTGTCAATTTTTTCTTATATTAATGCTTGTTCTGTCCTAATCAAGATCCTATGGGCCGCAGCAGACTCAACATGGTGTTTCAGCTTGATCAAGGTTGGCATTATTTTTTTCTCTCTTTCTTTGGATCCTTGGAAATTCCAGTCAACTTTACACAATCTATGGCAATGCAAACCCTTTGCGTTCTTCTTTCTTCTCCTATCTCCCTTTGGATGAATATGTCCAAACACAGTGTTTTGGTGATTTGACACTTTTTGCAAGGCTACCGTCATCCATTTTGTTTTCACTTCTGATTCTGCCATCTAGTGTGCTTCCACAAATGAAGAAAAGATTCCCATGATTTGCTGCATCTTGGGATTCTTATTTTGCTCTCCATTCCAAAATATCTGTTTCTCTATGACGTTTCTCAATCAGTCTGAGATTCTGGATACTTTCATTGTAGTGTTGTTGATGTTCCAGGTGGTGTTCCATTCTGGTAACCTTTTTCTCGCCAGAGTTGCCAACTTTAAATCCGTCCACTTTCAATCTTGTTTGACATTTTTTCAAAATCCTTGGATAATTATTGAATTTAGATCTAAAAGAAATTTTTTTTGTAGCAATTTTAGAGAATGGAAACTCCGTACCAAATTCTCTTATTCAAAACGGTGATTCACTGGACAATACCACATCGGATGAGAGTAATCAAGGTCCTCCTTTAAATGGTAAATCCTCAGGGCCGCTATTAGACGAGGATACAAACACTTCGTACACAGAAGATAGCTTGGATAAACCTTCGACGCCGATAACGATCGCGAACGAAGAGGAAACGAATGATTCCATCGTGTCCGAATCGACCAACGACTCGCGATCGAGTAATAACTTAGGTTTTAATACGAAACGTAGGATTCGGGAGGAAGAGGAAGACGAAGATAACTCGAGTTCCGTCGATCAACCGAATAAGAAAGTGAAAGATGATGTTGGGAATAAGTGACAAAATGAAGAAAATGGGATGGGGATGAGAAGGATGGGTAGAAGGGGGAATGTGGATGAAGAAATGGAAGAACGGTTAATATCGTGAGAGCCCCTTTTTTTACTTTTTACCTTTAAAAAAATTTATTATTAACTAATTATTGATTAATTATTAGGTAGGGATTTCTTTTCGAGTTTTTTTTTGTAATATTAATAACAATAATTTAGGATTAAAACTAAATTGGAAAGAAAAAAGTCATTGGACGTGTATAAAATGGAGATTCAAAATGAACTAACTAAACATTTTAAAGATTAAGACACGTTTTTGAAAAAACAAAACTTTTAAAACTAAGTTACCACGTTTTTTTGCGTTTACTTTCCAAAATTGAAGTTAAAAAACAAAATGAAAAAACCATGGATGGAAAAAATCTTTTTTTTACTCGTCGTTATAGCGTCTAAGATAGAAATTACAAGTTAAAAATTATTTTTTTCTGCATAAAATCACTTCTTTTCGTAGAGTTATTAGTTTAAGTAATTTATTTCGTTTTTATTTCGTTACGTATTTGTTTTATTTTTCCACACATTTATTTTTTTTTATAAATGCGGCATTCATTTCATTATAAATAAGAAATAAAAAGAAATACAACATTCCAAAATAACAAAAAAAAAACATAATATAAATCTTTTTTTGTTAAAAAAAGAAAATATACTAGTTCGAAAATAATTAAATAAAATTTCCACCTCTTTTATTGAAAGTTGAAAGAAATAGCTCCATTTTTAATAATATATCAACTATTTATATATAAAATACATATATTATATATAGATAAACACAAAAAATAAGTACTAAGAGAATAAAAATAAAAATGAGAGAAAAAGAGAAAAAAACTGAATGCCTTTACAAGAAAAAAAAAATAATACTGTAGTAAATCGTATACACTTTTACATAAAATAACGTAAAAAAAAATGATAAAAAAATAAAGCAAAAATAGTCGAAAATTATTTAATAACAATAAACAAAAAAAATATTTAAAAAGAACATGTATAGTGAGGTGTTTATTTTTTAAAAATTTTACGTTTTAGACGAGGTTTTCTCCAACCAAAAAATCCTAATAATTTTATACAAAACATTTAAAACGCTTTGGTGGAAACTTTCGGGACGACTGTATATAATAAAAATCGCATATTAACAAAAATCGTATTATGTATAAAAATAGCTAGAAAATTGGAAATGAACCGCTTTGTAATGATTAAATAAAGATAATTAATGAAAACCTGGTCCGAAACGTCGTCCGTTCGTTTGAAAACACACTGTATTTGTAAAAAATATCAGTTTGTAGAGATGAGTTTGAGGTTTTTTGTAGGATATTTTCATAAATATAAATCTTTCACTGCTAAATTTTGTTTTTTTATTTACATTTATTTCATTTAAATCGTTTATAATTATTAAATTAATGAGATCTAATCAAAAATAAAAGTGGGAAGTGGCGCCATCTTTTGAGATATAACCTAAATTTGATTTTAAAAATTGCGGCGACATCTACGATTCAATATCAAAGGTAATTTAGTTAGTCGAGATTTAAACTAAATTAAAAAAAAACGGAAATTTTTAATACTTTAATACTAGATTATTTGGTTTGTAAGCACTTTTGCCTCAACAGCACAGCTTATTTCGGTAATTAAAGACAATATTTACAATAAAGTAACCAACTGCCTCGACAATAAAGTAACCGTGTTATATTGGCAAAATCTTAATTATTTATTAAGTGATCGCGCTTTTGCCTCGGTAGCAGTTATAATAAAGAGAGGATAGCTATTTGGTTCGTAAACAACACATTCCTGCTTCAGCAACATTGCTTATTTCGGCAGTTAAAGACAATGTTTACGGTTGGTAGCAGTTATAATGAAGAAAGGATACCTGTTTGTTTCGTAAGCACCACACTTCTGCCTCAGCAGCATAGCTGCTGAGGCAATTAAAAAATATTTTCGATAAAAGAAGGTTATCTGTTTATTTATTGCCTACTTACGCTCCTGCCTCAGCAGCATAGCTGCCTCGGCAACTGAAGGTAGCATTTATAACGAATAGAGGATACCTGTGTTTGTTTCGAAACACCACACTTTTGCCTCAGCAGCATAGCTGCTTCGGTAATTAAAGACATTTGTGATAAAGGAAGCTTATCTGTTTATTTACTGCCTACTTACGCTCCTGCCTCAGCAGCATAGCTGCCTCGGCTACTAAAGGTAGCATTTATAACGAATAGAGGATACCTGTTTGTTTCGAAACACCACACTTTTGCCTCAGCAGCATGGCTGCTTCGGATTTTAAAAACGATATTTACAATAAAGGAAAAGCTTATCTTATTTGTGCTTACTCACGCTCTTGCCTCAGCAACAAAGCTGGCTCGATAATTAAACAGCACAGTTTATTGATAAAACTTGAAATCATCACGCTTTTGCCTCGGCATCAATCCCTTTGTATAACGTGACTAACGATAGGATTTAAGGTTCTAGATTAGGAGCACATAAAATCGAAGACTAAATCAAACAGATCAGAAGGTGTTCAAACATTTTTAACCTCCTCGACATCATGTGTTCTTAATCCACATTTATAAGATAGAATATTTCTCAAAATTAAACTCACCATGTATCGATTCCTGTAATATTTCCACAATTTCCTGTAAAAATCGGCTGGAAAGTCGGGAACACGGGACGCGTCCAAAATGGCGAACTTTGATTGCGGATTTTTCGTCGATTGTTTTTAAAGAGTCGTTTCAATTCGTCGAGGTGGCGCCACTTTTCTATTTAATTAATTTATTTCTATAAATTAAAAGGAAACTTTACAGGAAACATGCACGACTAACGGAGGGACCAAAATTTGCGATTCTGGATGTGGAGCATATAAAATCGAGGAGTAATTCAAACTTGAAACAGGTTAGGAGGTGTTTGAAAAATTTTAACTCTTAAATATCATGTACTCCTGATCCATCGCTTGTAAGTTGGAATATTTCTCAAAATTAAACTCACCTTGTGTCGATTGCTGTAATATTTCCACAATTTCCTGTAAAAATCGGCTGGAAAGTCGGGAACACGGGACGCGTCCAAAATGGCGAACTTTGATTGCGGATTTTTCGTCGATTGTTTTTAAAGAGTCGTTTCAATTCTTCGAGGTGGCGCCACTTTTCTATTTAATTAATTTATTTCTATAAATTAAAAGGAAACTTTACAGGAAACATGCACGACTAACGGAGGGACCAAAATTTGCGATTCTGGATGTGGAGCATATAAAATCGAGGAGTAATTCAAACTTGAAACAGGTTAGGAGGTGTTTGAAAAATTTTAACTCTTAAATATCATGTACTCCTGATCCATCGCTTGTAAGTTGGAATATTTCTCAAAATTAAACTCACCTTGTGTCGATTCCTGTAAAATTTCCACAATTTTCTGTAAAAATCGGTTGGAAAAACGGGATGCGTGCAAAATGGCGAACTTTGATTGTGTTTTTCGATTGTTTTTAAAGATTCGCCTTAAATCGCCGAGGTGGCGCATTTTTTTTTATTTATCTAATTTATTTTTTTTTAATTATTATTTAATTATAATTTAAGTTTATATAAATAACCTTAAATAAACGATTTATTAATTACATTTATTAAAAAAAATTAATTAATAACTATAATATTAAATATTTATTTAAAATAATATTTTGGCGGGAAATTTGAATGATTAAAATTAATTTTCGTTTTAAAATTTATAATATTTATAATACATAGTACATTTTTATAAAATCATTACATAAAACGAAAAGAAAGGTGCGATTACTTCTTCTTCAAGACATTTTTTTTTAGTATCACATGATTAAATTTGGCAAAAACACACTCACACACACAATATTCATCTTTTATGTTTAAAAAAACTTTCCTTAAGCTCTATTAATTGTAAAGTTCTTCTTCTTTTTACTGAAAAAGAAAAGAAAACCACCAAAAAATCGGGTACTTTTCGCAACCTTATTTTCCCTTAAATTAACTTAAATCTGCACAACCTAACTTAATCAATAATAAGTGTTCGAATGACTAGTTACATGGTTAAGTAATTTTATAGGAATTGGGTTGATTAAAAAAAAGTTGTTTAATTTGAAGAGGCACAGTGGCAAAGTTAACTAAAAAAAATACAATTCTAGTGTTTGTGAAAACCAAAATTTTAATTAACTTACGTTTTAACTCGTCGTCCAATTTTCGAAAATCCATTTCTAATCGATTTATGCCCATTTCTAATATCACCGAATCTACTTGGTTTATTCCTTGATTCAAAAACTACGTCGGAATCTGTGTCAGAGTCTGATAAATCAGCTTTTCTTCCTGAATCTTATAAAATAATCAATTTTATTAACACAATAAATGAAATAAAATTGAAACTAACATGGTAAAACATCGTCGGAATCTTGTATAAGTTTATAACTGGCGGGTTTTTGCCGATTCCTTTTCGAAAATCCATTCAAACACAAATAAATCAAAGCCCAAATAACGGCCGCAACCGTTACAACGAAAGATAACACTCCCAAAACGACGTAGAGAACGCTCCAACTACAATTGGAGTCTTCGTAACCGTCGGATAAGTAAATCTTAAATAAATCTTCCATCCAAAATGATTCGCAAGTACATTTTCGACTCAATTCGTTACAAACGCCGTGACCGGAACAGTTATTTTGGCAGATTGTTGTTTGTAAGCGGGAGATTGTGAATCCTAATAATCCGGCGTCGATTGCTAATTTTTTTCGGAGATGTTTCACTACATCGTTTGCTGGAAGTGGGGTTTGATTATCAACTCCCGATTCGACGTAAAATGTTATTATTGGGTTTGTGGTGCCTGGTTGTTGTTTAATTGATCGAACCTAAAACACAAAAATTAATTAATTATTTCATTAATTCGAGGAGAAATATTAATTAACCTGTAATTTAGAATTATCCTCAATAAGCAACGCCAATTTCCCCTTTAAAATTCCATACTGACTCTCTGTTAACTCATCAGCTTCGACATCCACCACCATATCAACCAAAAACATCAACTTTGGATCGTCCAAAACTGATATTTGAACCGTTTGGGAATCGCTCAATCCTTGTTCGTCGTATACTGTTAAATTAAAGGCGTAAATTCCGCTTTTTAAATCAGTTAGAATTAATATGGGGGTTTCGTCTGATCCTTCAGCTATGTTTCCTAAGGATAACGAATTTTCTAATCGCGTCCATTTCCAACGAACTATTGACCAATCGTCTGTTGATTTCGAACCGTTTACGTAAACGACGTTTCTTGGAAGTTCTATGGATAAATTTCCACCCGCGTTTGCTATTGGTTTTTGATTCTTATCTATTTAAACATAAATTAATATTAAGAAAAAATATCAATTAAATTGATTCTTACTTTGATCGACCGTTATAAAAGCGGTATCGGAAGCAACGTTATCATTATCATCGGTTACTGTTACCTTGAAAGCATAACCCCCTTTTGTTAAACCAGTTACGTTCGTTTTTGTTGCATTCGGATTAACGAAAGTAACCGTAGAGGGTCCATTTACTTGCTCCCATCTAAAAGAACAAACTAATTGGTTGGATAAAAGCGATTTTAATTAATTTTTACTTGTATTTCTCAATTCGATTATCATCTGTACTGTTTCCTGCATCAATAACGACCCAAGTTTGCGGTAAACTAATCGTTAAGTTCCCTCCAGCATTAGCTATTGGTGGTTTATTAGTTGGGGGTTTAACAAAAACGTGTACTTGAGCCGTACTGCTTTGATTAGCGCTATCGGTAACTTTTAATGTAAAGGTGTACATTCCTTCTTCTAAATCGGAGAGTTTTAAGTAAGGTGTTCGCGTGTCTTGCATATCCACGGCTTTTTCAGCGTCATCGGGACTTTTTGTCCATTCCCATGTGGTTATCATGTGATCATCAATACTTTGATTCCCGTTTAATGTTATTTGATTGTGTGGTAAATAAATTATTGTATCTTGACCTATTAAAAACATATAATGAGGTCTATTATTAACCTAAGTTCATGACTAGTATTAAAATTGATTTCATAAATTAATTTTTTTAAACAAAGTTAAACGTCAATGTGACATAAATTTACCAACTGTAACCAACTTCACAACAATTTGTCAAAATGAAAAGTCAATTTTATGAAACGTCATGTTTTTTTACGAAAATTAATTTATTCTTAAATCATACGAAAAAAGGAATTTGTTTACGTTTTTTTAATGTCAAACCTCTAGAAAGTCCTAAAAAAAATTAAATTAAATTGATGTTTTTTGAAATTTTGACGTTTCAAATAATTATTGTTAGTCTCTCATAATGATTATTCACCGGTATTATTCAATCTGTGAAAAATGACTACCTTTTTGTTTTAGAAAACTCATTTATAAAGTATATATTATAAGATAGTTGTGGACAAATTTATTTTTTTAAATAAATTTTTGAATAAAGTTTAAACGTCAATGTGACACAAATTCAATGTCACCAACTGTAACCAACTTTACAACAATTTGTCAAAATTTTATGAAACGTCACGTTTTTTTTACGAAAATTAATTAATTTATGCCTAAATCAAAGGAAAAAAGAAATTTGTTTAGGTTTTTTTAATGTTAAACCTTTAGAAAATCCTAAAAAAATTAAATTAAATTTTTTTGAAATTTTGACGTTTCTATTTGACGTGAATAATGATTATTCAATCTGTGAAAAATGACTACCCTTTTGCTTTAAAAAACTCATTTATCAGGTATTTATAAGGTAGTGGTGGACAAAAATAATTAATTTACCTGCATTAGCTTCCGGTGGATAATCAGTTATTTTTAGAACAGTCACATTGGCTGTACTGACACTTATCGCTTTATCTGTGTCGGTTACCGTTAATTTAAAAGTGTAATTTCCGGGCATATTCAAATCGTTTAATTCTAATGTTGGTGTATCATGAAGTTGGGGTTGGTAACCTAAAAAAATTTTAAAAAAGAATTAAAAATTATTGAAAACATAAACTCCGCTTCAAATGGGCAGATTGAAGGTAGAAAGGAAAAGCTTTCACAAAAGTTGGCAACTTATAAGATCAGAATTGATGTCTCTAGATAAAAGAGTTCATGCTGCCAACAAGTTAGCAGCTTATAAGGTCAGAATTAATGTCTCTAGATAAAAGAGATCATGTTGCCAACGAGTTGGCAGACTTAAGAAAACAAAATGTTGGCAGCTTATAAGATGCTGAATTGATGTCTCCAGATAATACAGCTCATGCTGCCAACAAGTTGGCAGTTTATAAGGTCCAGAATTGATGTCTCTAGATAAAAGAGCTCATGCTGCCAACAAGTTGGCAGCTTATAAGGTCCATAATTGACGTTTTTGGGCAAGAGAGCTCATGCTGCCAACAAGTTGGCAGCTTATAAGATCAGAATTTATGTCTCTAGATAACAGAGCTCATGCTGCAAACAAGTTGGCAGTTTATAAGATCCAGAATTGATGTTTCTAGATAAAAGAGCTCATGCTGCCAACAAGTTGGCAGCTTATAAGATCCAGAATTGATGTTTCTAGGCAAGAGAGCTCATGCTGCCAACAAGTTGGCAGCTTATAAGGTCCATAATTGATGTTTCTAGGCAAGAGAGCTCATGCTGCCAACAAGTTGGCAGCTTATAAGATCAGAATGTATGTCTCTAGATAACAGAGCTCATGCTGCAAACAAGTTGGCAGTTTATAAGGTCCAGAATTGATGTGTCTAGATAAAAGAGCTCATGCTGCCAACAAGTTGGAAAACTTTAACATTCATAGTTGAAGCCCTGACAAACAATAATTCAAGTTGTTAATTTAAATGAATTTTTTTACCAAGTGGTCCTTGTTGAAGTTCCCAATGGAATGTAACAATCCCATCATCATCAGTTGATGAAGAAGCATCCAAAACAGCGCCATTATTTGGTAATTTAATCGTTTGATTAGCTGGTGTTATAACAATTTCTGGAGGTTTATTAATTCTTGATGGTGGTAATACTGTCACATTCACAAACGTTTCCCCGTACATGGTTTCATTTGAAACTGCAACCTAAATTAAAAAATTAAAATTATTTCAGATAAAACCTGTTGTTTTAACTTACTTTAAATGTATATAAACCTTCAGATAATTTCGTTAATTGTAAAGTTTCCCCGTTTTGATGTTTAACAGCACTACTTCCATCAGGTTGTGTTAAAGCAGTCCACTCATAACGATATTGAACATCTTTTAAGGGATTTATTTCTGATCCGGGTTGTTGATTGACTACAGCTGTTAAACTTACTTCACTTTCTGGGAGTTTAACCACTTTTGATTCAGCTGTTACATCTAATAAACCTTTTGTGGGAATTGATTGAGTTAAATTCATTTTTGAGGTTATGTCAAATATTTTAGGGGTTGTTGTGATAGTTTTTTCTATAAAAACGCATTCATTTTCACTATTTCTTAGATAACCACTTTTACATTTGCAAGTACCTTAACAAAATGATATAATATAGAAATAAAATTATTAAATTAAATTATTAATTTTTTACCTCCACGCCCTCTAACGTTATTTTGAATACACTCTTCATTTAAAGGACAATTATCAGGGATATTAACTTCACAACCATCGCCAAAAGTAGGAAACCGCGTTTCTTCCATTTGCAATAACTTATTATAATCATTTTCTAATTCTTCTTTGCGCGAAAACATTGATGCAAATTCGTAGTTATCTTTCGCCTCCATAGATGTCGCTTCGTCGTTTTTTCGATTTCCCAGGAGTAATTCGACCCATTCTACATCTTCCTCAACCGGTCTTACCAAAACCATACTAACACGGCTTGCATAGTCGTCTTCTTCTTTGCTGTTACCGCTCCCAATATAAATTGGTAAACAAATTGTTGAATTTTGACATTTAATATGATAACATTTCTCGTCCGCGATAAACGCTACGTTGCAATCATTCTTTTCACAACAATCTAATACACATGATCGTTGATCTTCAGCATCGGGAACTGCGCTAAATACTCCAGAGGACATATTACCAGCAGGAACATAACCATTAAATAGTTTCCCATATAATTTCGGGCATAACGTGTTTTTTTTAGCGCGGTTATATTCGAAGAAAAGAGTCGTTATAAGTAGTAATAAAATAGGTTTCGTCCACATTTTTTTTTTTTTTTTCTAATTGTGGATAAGGAAAATTTATTTTAGGTTATGTTATTATTATTGATAAAATTATTTCGTACTAACCTCTTATTACTTATTGGATTTTTGAGATATTACATCCGCGATGTCTACTTTTTAATCTATATTTCGTAAAACCAATTTTTTTTGCTGATATTTCTTAATAAACGAATTGTTTCGGTTGATTTGAGGATTTGTGATGGTTATCTGATTTGACATGTGACAGTAAGGGTCGCCAATTATTAAAATGATATTTTGAAATTCCCCAAATTTTTGTCACATATTTCTAAAACTTATTTTTGGTTGTTTTAGATTATAACTTTAAATAATTTACTCGATTAAATAATCAATGTAATCGTAATTTATTGTTTAAAAGCGTTTTAATGTTTTATTCCCACTACTTTCTATTGACCTTTATTATCATCCCCCCCATATTTTCACCTACGTTTCACCTGTTAGCTCGGTTCACTTAAATTCTCAGATTCGCATTGAATTAGTTGCGTTTTATCAACTCTTTACAACAATATAATAACATAATATTTCGTTTTTTTTAGTTTAGTTGAGTGAGTTTGGTTTGGTTTTGAGTGTTGTATCTACTTTATTGCTTAAATTCATTTAAAACATTCAAATGGATTAATTCAAAAACTTCGTTTTCCAGATAATTTTTGCTATATAAAATAAGGAAAATGACTAGTTTAAGGTTCCACAAGTAAGTTTTTTTTTAATTAGTCAATATCGAAAATTCTTTCCTTTATCATAATCATTTTATTGAGAAATAGATAACCAATAGATAACAATGAGCGGATAAATCAATCGATTCATTGTTTTTTGCGATTCAATTTAGATAAATGATGTTCAAACTAATCTCCAAAAATCATCTAAAGTATTAATAAATTATTACTAATTTTAATACAATCCTTTTAAACCCTTAGAGCAGCTAAAGATGGTTATATTGAGGTACTAAAAGAAGCAACAAGAAGCGATTGCAACACAAAAGATGAACAAGGGATGACACCAACTTTATATGCAGCTTTTTATGGCCATTTAGACTCCTTACGGTTATTATGTGGGCGAGGGTGCGCTCAAATTAATGTCAAAAATGATCAAACTTAATTTTTTTTTATTTAACAGTGGAAATCCAGATAAAGCCGATCATTTCGGAAACACCGCCCTTCATTTAGCCGCGGCTCAAGGCCACAAAGCCGTTGTGACGTTCCTCGTCAATTTTGGGGCCAACATTTATGCAATGGACATCGATGAAAGAACTGCGAAAGAATTAGCAGGAATTAGCAACCGAGAAGATATAATGATCTTCTTAGATCAAGCAACAGCTAAATTGGAGTCGATTGATAAGAAGAAATCAAAAGAAATGAAAGAAAAAGCGAAAAAAGAGACTGAAAAACGAATTAAGGTTAGAAAAAAATTGAAATGGCGTAAAATTGGTTGCCTATATTTTTTTTTTAATTTAATTTAAATTTACCAAATTATTATATTTAATAATTCAAACTAGTTTGTATCTCATTCATTTAAATATTTTTAAAACTCTAGTCACACTCACATTTCTACTTAATCTATATTTTTATATCCATATTTTAGTTAGGCAACCCAAGTTACCTTAATTTTCTTTTTAGAAATTCAACAAACGTCAAGCTAAACTTTACGAATCCGTGGAACCAAAAATCGGGAAAAAATCAAACGGGAGATTATTTAACACCCTAAAAAATCGAATTAAAAGTCGCCAATACGCCTCAAACCCCAATTTACAAAACGCCGGTTTAGAACAAATCAGCACAAATCCAAGTCAAATTAGCTCAACACCAAGATTTAGCACGATCGTAAGCGGAAATGGAACAACGAGAGGTGTTTTTAGCGCCGTCGAGAGAAAGGCGCGATCCAAACAACGAAATAACGACGCTGCAAATGACGATTTTAAAGTTAGATTATTTTTTTTAATTAAATCAAAGAATTAAAAAATTATTTTTTAGATAAGTGAAATTGAAGATGGAAAACGCTCAATTCGCTCAATAAGGGGGTTAAAAGGACGGGGATCCGAAGTTCTTTACACCGGTCAAGTCGATAGTAAACGGGGTAAATTAAACGATGTTTTTAATGGTAATAATGATGATCTTAACCATGAGGAAAACGACACCTTTATTGGACAACAAATTGGAACTTTAACTCGGTCAATATCTCAACCAAACATTTTAAACGACATCAAAAACGCGTCAGAAACCCCGCAAGAATCCGCCCCAAATGTTGAAGCTCCTAGTATATTTATTCGTCCAGGGATTGGGTCTTTAGCGTTTCGAAAAAGCATTACAAATACTTTACAAGCTATGTCGATGGCGGAACAAGCACGATTAGATGTAAATTCGATTGGTTCGGCGGGAAGTTTAGCTTCGCGACCGAAAAATTTCGGTTTTTCTGAAGATAATATAAGCGATATGGATTCTTCGTCTGACGAAGAAACCGACGAAAAAAGTCCGTTGGAGCGATTTTTAACCGCGTGGGGGTTGAAAGAGTATTTGGATAAATTCGAGGAGCAAAAAATTGATTTGGATACGCTACTTTTGTTGACGGAGGGTGATTTGAAAAGTTTAAATTTGCCTTTGGGGCCGCATAGAAAATTAATCACCGCGATTAATGAACGAAAATTGGCTTTGGAGAGTCCTGGTGAAATAATCGATGGAAAATTATAATTTAAGATTATATTATTATATTTTTTGAATATCTAAATAAAAATTTATTAATGCAATTTTAATAAATTGTTAATCATTCATATGATTTTATGAACGTATCCCAATTATTTGACATTTACGATAATAACATAACCTCAAATACTAAAAAAAAAATTTTGACGTTTTTAACATCTTTGGTATATAACAGAGAAACTAATAAAGTTGGAATGAAATCGAATAAGAAATATATCTTCTAGGATTCAGAATGAACAAAATTTACTCATAAAATTTTGCCCCATGATTTTAAATTTAAGAATTATGACCGATTTTAATCATCAAAATCCTTAATTTTTAGGTTTTCAGCTTCTTACGTATGTAATAGAGAAACTAATAGAGCTAGAATAAAATCGGTTAAGAATCATATCTTTTAGGATTTATAATGAACAAAATTTATTCATAACATTTTGCCCCATCATTATCTCTTTAGGAATTATGATATAAACTTACCTTGTTTATAATTCCTTAGATAAACCAATTTTGAGTTATATACAGCCTTTTAAACCAATTAAATAAGACTTTTTCCTTAAAAAAAACTTAAAATTCAATTTTGACAAGCACCTGTAATATTTGGAGCTTAATCACCACGGTAACCGAGTCAAGTTGGATAACCTAAAAATAATAAAATTTTAACCGTTGGATTAAATCAAAAAAAGAAATTTTTAATTTATTTCTCTTAATTAGAATCGATTTAAATTAACTACAATTAACAAATTTGTTATGAATGCGAGATAATCGTAAAGAATTCGAATCGTTTTAAAATTAATAAAAATTAGGTTAGAATTGATAAAAAAATCGGAATAAAATTTTATTATTTTAAGGTTATCCAACTTGACTCGGTTACCATGGTGATTAAGAATCAAATATGGCAGTTGCTTCTCAAAATTGACGTTGAATTTAAGTTCTTTTTAATGAAAAACGCATAATTAATTGGATTTAAAGGTTGTATTTAATTCAAAATGGGTAAATGGATGAAATTATAAGCAAGGTAAGTGGATTAAATCAAAAAAGAATATTTTTAGATTTTTAGTACTCATTTTAAAGAATTTTTAATGAAGATTACAAATATGTCAAAATAAGGTTGACATTTTAAATCGTGAAACATTTTAAATCAATTCCGTCGGTTCTGTGCGTCTTGAAAAAGACCTTGGAAAGGGTTTAACCATTACCGTCGAGAGTGCATTTATTTAATGTTAAATAGTACCCATTAGTATTAGGAGGTTTAATTTTAGATGAGTTATCCAGCGACATCTATGATTTAGTAACTCCACTAACAATAAAGAAGGAAGAAAAATTGTTTTTTTAATAAATGTATTTTAAATTTACCTAATTAAAACGACAATTCAGAATAGATTTTTTATATTTATTTAATATTTAGCAATAAATTTTATTAATAATAACTTTTTGTCAATAAATATTAACTTAATATATCTTACTTAGGAAATAGGCAACCAAACATACACAATCGTATATTGTATTGCTAATTGAAAAATTAATTTAAATCAAACAATTAACAATAATTATTAAAAAATACATTAAATCGACAAAACCTTTCCTTTAAATTCTTTATTGTATCACCCTGTTGGCAACTTTCTTCTTATACAACTTTATACAAGGTGTTTCTGTAAGTCATTGTAAATGAAATAGAATAAAATAATAAAAATACAAAAAATATCGTTTAGTTTAAGTTGATATCTTTCAATACAATATTTTATCCTGTTAACTCATTTTTTTAAATTATTTTTCATAATTTTTTTTTAAGGTTATGTTTAAATGTCATAATTATTTTTTTTTTGAGGTTATGTTTTTATTTTTTATGTTTTTACCCTTTTCAAAGTGTTTTTATTGCTTTATTGACTACTTAATCTTTTAAGTTCAAGTTATTTTTCAATCCAAAATTATTATTTATAATCCGATAGCAAAAATAGTGACAAACCCTTGACTTTAACTCATCCTATTTTTTAGTCACAAATCCGTCTTATCAATAATATATTCGCAGATATATCTAATCACAGCCGTAGATATTGAACAAAACAGGATACGCATTAAGTGGTCTATTTCCATAAAAAAAAACATTGTGAAAAACATTATGCAGACTCGATGGCCCCAGATTTGACCACTTAAATCTAAATCAGGTTTGTACTTACTACAGTTTATCTTAAAACATATAAATTTATCAACGATTTGTACAACTTGAAAATTCTCTTCAAATTCTTTACAAAAATAACATTTTTTCCCTCTTATCTCACTCCCCAAAAAAAATGTTTAATAAAACAGCATGATGATAAGTTTATGTTCCAAATCTTTGTTGATTCAGTTACCTTTAAAACGATGCGACGGTGAGGCGCATTATGAATCATATTTATTACCTCTAAAATTAAAATTTCTCTTTTAGATCCATTCTAAACTACCCGGGAGGGTTTGAAAACGCCTTTGAAGGTGAAAGCAATTTGGGGCGAGCATTTCAACAACGACAGCAACTCATGGCACAACAAAACAACCCCAATATTAGGGGTGATGATCATTTGGAACGACTCGATAGCTTCATCGATAATAATTTTGATGATATTGAAGAAAATTATCTTCCTTCTGAAGAATTACAATCAGAATCATCACAACATCAATATTATGAAAACCCAAGAAATTATCCTGAAGAAATCCTCCAATCAGAATCATCACAACATCAATATTATGATTATCCAAGAAATTACGCCGAAGAAATCCAGGATCCTACATATTTAGAACTTACACCATCAGATTATTTAACTCCTAGACCTTCTTATGAAACTTCTTTACAAAGACGAACGATTTCTCTTCATCGTAGGGGTGCCACACCCAATATATCACTTCCAAAGGTTTATGTAGAACAAGATTTTGATCAACACATTAAAGCAATTGTTGAACATATGGATAAGGAGTACAAAGAGATGGAGTCAAAGACTGATAGTCAAGAAGCTGAGTTATTACGAATGTAAGTACCTATTTAATATGAGTAAAACTATAAAAAATATGAGTTAATTTAAATAATTTATTTATCATATTTAAGGCAAACTTTAAGAGATATGCCTCAAAGCTTAGCTGTAAAGAAACGTGTTAAACAAACCACTTCAAATAGAAGATCCAAAAAAACTGTTGGAATGTTTAAAATGATGAAGTATCAAATTGCAATGTCTTGGGCACATGTAAGTAATTAATTGATTAATTTTTGTTTCTTTATCATTTTTTCTTGTCTTTCCTTTATATTTATTACGTCTCTGTCGTTCTTGTCTTGATAAAATATTGTAATAAAGCTTCCAAAACAGGTTTTACCTGAGAGAAAGAAACATAACCTCAATTCATTTGACAGTTAATTTTTATTTGCTCATAATTCTCTTAAAACTGTTAATATCCTTTCTAAACCATCCAAAACGGAAAAATCAGTATCAGATACGTCTAATTTATTAGATTTCGGAAGATTTTGAACGATTTAACCTTAAAAATTGAATTTAAAATTTGTAAAATCAAACTTCTTTTGTGGTTGGAGAATCTTGAAACTTCCAATGGACGGCTGAAATAGAAGGATATATGCTTCAAATGCTAAGTTTCATCCGGATTAGTGAAGAATTAAAGAATGAAATCACTTATTTTGTTCATATCTTCTTTGACATCCTAAAAATTGGTTATTTTAGAACGTACTCTTATAAATGTCAAACTTTAAAGAATCGTATCTACTTTATTTGTTGGAATTAATCCACAATCTGTGTGTCGAATTAAAGTTTAAAGTATCTATTTTAAGACCATATAAATAGTTTTGAGTAGATCCATAAAATTTTGGAGAAAAGAATTTTTTAAGCAAATTCTAAAGCTTGGTCATTTTAGAACGTACCCTTAAAAATGTCAAACTTTAAAGAATCGTCGTATCTACTTTATTTATTGGAATTAACAAACGATCTGGGTATCAAATTAAAGCTTAAAGTATCTTTTTTAAGACCATCCAAAACAGGAAAATCAGTATCAGTTATATCTAATTTATTACATTTCGAAGATTTTGAATGATTTAACCTTGAAAATTGGATTTAAAATTTGTTAAATTCAAGCTTTTTTTGTGGTTGGAGAATCTTGAAACTTCCAATGGACGGTTGAAATACAAGGATATATGCTTCAAATACGAAGTTTCATCCGGATTAGTGAAGAATTAAAGAAGATATAAATAAAATAAGTTTTGGAATTTTGAGCGGTACGAAAGAAATCCGCTAGATGGCGTTTTTACGAACTTCTAAAGATTTTTTGACATCTGTCACTATTTGATAATAAAAATCTGTAATTTAAACTTTATTTTTGAGCCTGAACTCGCTAAATTATTATTTTGTAAAAAGAAAACCAAAATACTCAAATAGAAGAAGAAATGGCGCGTAATCATAAAACTAATTATTATTTTTTGTTGTAGTTAAAAGGGAACATAAAGGATTTATCATATACGTTTGAACTTTGGTATAGTTGGTTAAAGAAAATTGAAGGAAATTTCGGTAGTGGAGTGGCAAGTTATTTTAAATTCCTTCGATGGCTCTTTATTATAAACTTAGCAATGACCATATTATCTCTTTGCTTTATAATAATTCCACAAATCGTTTTGGAAGTACCAACTGGGACAAATTTTTCCGCTATGGATTTATTAGACGGAAATGGTTATTTAAATAAATCATTGTTATATTATGGATCATATTCGAATGGTACCATTGGAGGTTATGACATACCCTCAGCTTATTTCTTTACAATGCCAGTTCTTTACATCGCCATATTTATTTTAATCAGTATCAGGTAACAAAATTAATTTTTTTTAATTTAACTTTATGAATAATTCTTTTTTTAGTATGGCAAGTTCTTATAAGAAAAGTTTTATCATGACTGAAGGAGGAGTACAAAACATTTTCGCCAACAAAATTTTTTGCGGTTGGGATTATAGTATACAAACGAGAAACGCGGCTGATTTAAAAATGAAATCGATTTATAACGAATTAATGGTAAAATAATCTTAATTTTAAATTATTGATTCAAAAACAATCTTTTTAATAGGAATCATTAAACGATGTAAACAACACCAAACATAAATTAAGTCCATGCGATAAATTTCGCCTCTACACCATGCAGGGGGTGGCCCACTTATTTTCTATCGCCGTTTCATTAGGCGCTGGGTATTTGATGTACACGTTATTAAAAGATGATAATGATGATGATGGCGACAGGAGTATTGTACTCGCAGTTTATATTAATATTGTTATGGTCGTAATTCCAATGATTTTTAGGATAATTGCAAGGTGTGTACATTTTTGACGTTTATAGATATGCAACCCAAATAACAAAGAAGTTAATTAGGTTGCTAAAAATTTAATTAAAATTTTTTATTATTTTGATTTAATTAAATAATTATAAAAATGTAAATAAATTATTAATTTATTCTTTTTTTAGTTACGAAGATTATAAAAGTCTGAGAATTACATTATTTATTACATTAGCTAGGACGATATTTTTAGAATTATGTGTTGTAGCAGTTTTAATTTATTATTATTTAAAAGCATCAAGTGATACGGTAAATTTTATTAACAATTATTTTAATTTTATTATTATAATTTTTTTTTGTTTAGGAAAACTGTTGGGAAAATAATTTTGCCAAAGAAGTGTATCGTTTAATCATATTCGATTTTTTCTTTTCAACTTTATTTAAAACACTTATTGATTTATCTTGGTTTCTCATACACAAGTAATTATTATTATTTATTTAATTATTTAAAATTTAAATTAGTTATCCCCCGCCATCTAGTATTACCTCAACGAATTAATTTTACGCCATGAAGTTAGCCACTCAATTTAAATCAAATAATTTTTAGGTTAACCGATTTGATTGAAGCTCCTGAATTTGATATAGCAACAAATACGCTCTCAATAATTTATAATCAAACATTATTTTGGGTCGGATTCTACTTCTCGCCGTTATTGGGGGTGGTAATTGTTTTAAAATTGTTCCTGATATTTTACGTGAGAAGCATAGTGTTGTTAAATTGTTGTCAAGCGCCGAAAAAATCGTGGAGAGCCGCCCAAACGCAAACTTGGTTCCTTATAATCGCGTTTTTATGGTCGCTCTTGCTCCTTTTCGTACACGGGTTTCATATTTTTAGGTAATTAAGCTTTTTTTCTTTTAAAACGTTAATTTTATCGTTATATTTTATTTGCAGTGACCAAATTAAGTCTTCCCGTAATTGCGGTCCTTTAACAAGCAGCGACTTCACCAGTTTAACAGGAGAGAATCTTTTTGATGAAATTCTTTTATTCTTTATAAAACCGGGAGTTGTAACTTGTATTTTAATCGCTTTGGCGTACGTTTTATTTTTGTTATTATCATTTTAGATTTATTTGTTAAATTTGTTTACTTTTTAGGTTTGGTGTGTATTATTTAAGAGCCGTGGCTAATGCACAAATTGAAATGGTTGAATTTTTAAGATATCGTTTATCTTTAGTTTCAATTGATAAAACGTTTTTGTTGGAAAGAATTACTGAAGCTTCTCATGGTAATTATTTATTACATTTTATACATGTCTCAACAAGACCGTTCATTAGACGTTTATGGGGTGCTAGCTAAAATGGCTTGGACTAAAATATTTTCACACAGCTTTCTAGTACTTACTATCCATGGAAAAAGTCAAGGCAACTCACTTTAGTCATCTGTCAGCAGTATTTATTTTTCTGCAAGCAGTACAAGAAGACAATCCTTCTTCTAGCAGTATGTAATCTTCCATTAGCATTATCTTGTTTTCTGCCTACAGTATCCAGTGTTCTGCTATGAACATTTAAAGATCTGAAAGTAATATCACAGCTTTCATTAGAATTATCTAGTCCTCTGTCAGCAGTGTCTACTTTTCTGCAAGCAGTGGATTCTGGTATCTTACTTTCAGCATTTAATGTTCTGCAAGTAACATCACCACTTGCATTAGCAGTATCTTCTTCTCTGCCAGCAGTCATATTCATAAATCTACCATAAGTCAGAAACTATAAGCGATAGAAAAAAATGTTGTGCATCAAAATTGTTAATTTTGAACCAAAAATGCATAATCCATAACAAAGATTTCTTCTAGTTGTCTGCATTTTCTGCAAACCAACCCATAATCTTCGGAAAGTCAAAATCGATCACTTACATTCATAAATCTGCCATATGTCAGAAACAATACGCGATGGAGAAAAATGTTGTGGACTAAAATTGTTCCCTTTGAACCAAAAATTCATAATCCATAACAAAAATCTCTTTTAGATGTCTGCATTTTCTGCAAACCAACCTATGATCTTCTAAATGTCAAAATCGATCATACATTAATAAGTCAGAAACTATAAGCGATAGAGAAAAATGTTTTGAACCAAAATTATTCATTTTGAACCAAAAATTCATAATCCATAACAAAAATTTCGTCTAGTTGTCTGCATTTTCTGCAAACCAACCCATAATCTTTGGAATGTCAAAATCGATCACTTACATTCATAAATCTGCCATAAGTCAGAAACAATAAGCGATAGAGAAAAATGTTGTAGACCAAAATTGTTCATTTTGAACCAAAAAAGCATAATCCATAACAAAGATCTCTTCTAGATGGCTGCATTTTTTGCAAACTAATCCATAATCTTCTAAATGTCAAATTTCAGCACTTACATATGTTCATAAATCTGCCATAAGTCAGAAGCTATAACCGATGGAGAAAAATATTGTTCATCTCGAAGAAGACGCAATGGTTTATACTTAAATCTGAATTATCAAATTTTTATTTTGGAGAGAGCCCCATAAATGTCTTATGAACCATAATTAGCGATCTCGCTGAGACAACCTGTATATTTAATTACTTTTCGTTTAGGTTTTAATTATAGAAAGTCAGACAATCAAGAAGTTCATATGGATCCAACAATAGTAGCCCCACGTATTTATAAATCAACTAGTTGAAATGATGGTTTGTAGCAAGTTGATTTAAAATGATGGTGAAAACTGTCAAATCATTTTATTTTTTAGATCTACCTTTTACACGGTTACACAATCCACGCGATAATTATGAATAAGAAAATATTCTTAGGTAATATATTAAATTAATTTTAATAATAAATAAATTGTATAAAATATTTATATATACATATGTGACGCCATCTATTAATAAATCAATGAAGTTAAATTACGATGACATGATATTGTAGCGATACGTTTTGATTGTTAGATGGCGTTATTAATAATCCCACCAATATTTTTTTCCTTTTCTAATCGAATAAGTCGCCGTCTGCGACCTCACGTGTTTACAAACCGACGGTCGATCGTGGCGCCGCCGTCTCATCGAGTCGCCGTGTTATGAAATAGACTACGGAACGGAGTCTGAACAGTAAGTTCGCGTCGTAGCGTGCCATGACCGCGGCCCCATCGCAGGCGGCCGCCGCGCATCATCGCACCACCACAGCAGCGGAAAGTGACGACGCGTGGGCCCTCTTAGCACTCAGAAAATCAGCACCGAGCAGTCCGGCTAAAACGGCCCAACCATGGAGCCCCATCGCCGACGAAGGTACAACCACCACGATGATGGGCCCTATCGCGAGGATCGAGGGTCGCGATTTTGAGTATATGGTGAGACATAGTCCGGTTGTTATTGGAAGAAATAGTTCGCGGGGGGCCGTCGATGTAAACATGGGGCACTCGAGTTTTATCTCGAGGCGCCACCTCGAGCTCGTCTTCGACCATCCGAATTTTTACCTACAGTGTAGCGGCAAAAATGGAATTTTCATTGACGGCGTGTTCCAAGGAAAAGGAAGTCCTTCTATTAAATTACCCAGATCGTAAGTATTCACGCACGTTTTATCAATCTTAAAAGATACAATCAAAACAAGATTTTAAGAAAAACAAAATCATTTTTTTTTATTCTATTGGTATTATTGATGGATTTGTTTTTGTTGTTTTGCGTTTGTGGAAAATGGGTGACGTCATCACCGCGCATAGATTATATCATTCATTCATAATCGGAATTAACCTAACCTAAATTTTAACAAATAAAATCGTTAATTCGCCCTAAATGAATCGATTTTAAACGATTTTTTATTAATTTTTTTTGTGTGATCTCTCAGTAAATAGGTTATGTTATTTTTTTTTTGTTATCGAGTTTTGGTCCACCATTATTGCCCACGTGGTTCTGGTGTTTGTACACACAATACGTGTATGCGAGTGGATCGTTTTCGTTAGTGTGGTTGCCTAAACGAACGATTCATGCGAAAATGTTATTTTCCACGTTGTTTATTTTGAGGTTAGGATTAAATAGAAAGTCATTAAATACATCGTAAATTCTTTTTTGTTTGTAACAAATAAATTTAAACATTTTTGGTATAACTATTTAATTCTTATCCTAAAAATAGAATCTTAACATTCCTTAAAAATGAGGTTAGATATAATTTATCGCCGTATTTTTTTTTTATTGTTTTAAGTTTAGAATTAAGCACGTTTTGGTATTTTAGATATATTATTTATAGTTAAGTTGGTAACACTATTTACTTGACGTTGACATTTAATCATACTTGACAGATGTTTACCTATATCTGTCAAAAATAATTTTTGAATATTGGGATATAAAACTGTACGAGTTTTATTAAGTTAGTTAAGCAATGACCACTAATGTGTTAAGGAAGCACTAGGAATCATTTTGTCGGTATTTATAAACTGTTAATGCATAGTTTATCCGTTTATTTTCAGAAACTACGAATTTATGTATAAATAAGGATTAGGTATAAAAATTGCCTTTGTCTGTTCTGTAGAATGTTGACAAACAAAGATTCCAGCCTCGGTATTTGGTTTCGGAATGGTCCCGAGATTTCGTATTTCTATGAAATGCTTAATCCGCTCACCGGTTTTAGAACAAGTTTCGACTTACAATATTTGTCCGAAGAACTTATCCATTATCAGTATTACAAGGAAAGTAACTACAACGTATTGACCACTTTTAGGTTGGTATCATGTTAAATGTAGAGCACCGCCTGGAATCGCCCTCAATTTAATCAAGGAATATCTTATAACCTCTGTTCTGAATTCTTGGTCGCAAATGACTTCATTATAATCAGACTAAAATATATATTCTCCATCTAGCTATTAGCCGAAGTTGCTTGTGGCCGAGTTCTAATATATATTAATACCTAGCTTTGGGTAGACATGGTATTTGGGCAAGCAGTAGAAGAAGATAATCCTTCTTCTAGTAGTATGTATTCAGATGTATGCTATCAGCATTTAAAGATCTGAAAGTAATATCACGGGTTTCATTAGAAGTAGTCCTCTGCCAGCAGTATCTACTTTTCTGCAAACATTAATTAGTTCTCTATCTGCAATATTTAGTCTTATACCAGCAGTCATATTCATAAATCTGTCATAAATCAGAAATTATAAGCGATAGGGACAAATTTTGTGCATCAAGTTTGAGGTTTAGATTACCGAAGCATTCTAATATGTATTTATGAGCTTAGGAGCTTTGAGACGAGGTTGCCGACGACCGAGACATGCTAATATGCATTAATGAGCTTTCATGGCATTAATTGCAATTAATACTCAGGCAAAGTCGCGAATTTCTGCACATAGATTAGCCGAGGCGTTCTAATATGTATTTATAAGCTTTCTGTAGAGATGATATTAATTGCAATGCCTTTAATTTAATTAACCATTTAAACCTGAGAGATGACATTTATAGCTTGTCAAACGGAAGTTCTGACTTGACAGATGACATTTATAGTATAAAAATGACATTTCTAGCTTAACATACCACAGTTCTCACTTGACGGATGACATTTACAGTATAGAAATGACATTTCAACATTGAAAATGACATTTCCAACTTAACATATGACATTTAAACCCTAGGATTGACATTTATAGCTTGACATACAACAATTGTGACTTGACACAGGACATTTACGGTATAAAAATGACATTTCTGCTTTGAAAATGGCATTTCCAATTTTACATATGACATTTAAACCCTAGGAATGACATTTTTAGCTTGTCATACAGAAGTTCTAACTTGACAGATGACATTTATAGTATAGAAATGACGTTTCTACTTTGAAAATGACATTTCTAACTTACTATATGTTATTTATACCTTAGAAATGACATTTCTAGCTTGACATGCTACAGTTGTATCTTGACAGATGATATTTATAGTATAAAAATGGCATTTTCAATTTGACATATGACATTTAAACTTGAGAAATGACATTTTTAGCTTGTCATACAAAACTTCTAACTTGACAGATGACATTTATTGTATAGAAATGACATTTCTACTTTGAAAATGACATTTCTAACTTACTATATGTTATTTATACCTTAGAAATGACATTTCTAGCTTGACATGCTACAGTTGTATCTTGACAGATGATATTTATAGTATAAAAATGGCATTTTCAATTTGACATATGACATTTAAACTTGAGAAATGACATTTTTAGCTTGTCATACAAAACTTCTAACTTGACAGATGACATTTATTGTATAGAAATGACATTTCTACTTTGAAAATGACATTTCTAACTTACTATATGTTATTTATACCTTAGAAATGACATTTCTAGCTTGACATGCTACAGTTGTATCTTGACAGATGATATTTATAGTATAAAAATGGCATTTTCAATTTGACATATGACATTTAAACTTGAGAAATGACATTTTTAGCTTGTCATACAAAACTTCTAACTTGACAGATGACATTTATTGTATAGAAATGACATTTCTACTTTGAAAATGACATTTCTAACTTACTATATGTTATTTATACCTTAGAAATGACATTTCTAGCTTGACATGCTACAGTTGTATCTTGACAGATGATATTTATAGTATAAAAATGGCATTTTCAATTTGACATATGACATTTAAACTTGAGAAATGACATTTTTAGCTTGTCATACAAAACTTCTAACTTGACAGATGACATTTATTGTATAGAAATGACATTTCTACTTTGAAAATGACATTTCTAACTTACTATATGTTATTTATACCTTAGAAATGACATTTCTAGCTTGACATGCTACAGTTGTATCTTGACAGATGATATTTATAGTATAAAAATGTCATTTTTTAAACTTGAGAAATGACATTTTTAGCTTGTCATACAGAACTTCTAACTTGACAGATGACATTTATTGTATAAAAATGACATTTCTACTTTGAAAATGACATTTCTAACTTACTATATGTTATTTATACCTTAGAAATGACATTTCTAGCTTTACAGTTGTATCTTGATAGATGATATTTATAGTATAAAAATGGCATTCAATTTGACTTATGACATTTCAACCTAAGAAATGACATTTTTAGCTTGTCAAAACAAAAAAGTTAGAATAAAAAACATTAAACCCGAAGTTAGCAACAATTTAATTTTTAAATATTAATACCAACCTTAATTTTTTATTTTTTTTTATTATATTTTTCTTTTTGTGCCAAATATTAAGACATTTTATTAAAATTAAGAATATGTCAAAATGACATTGACATTTCAAACCGGAAGTTGCTTATATCACGAGTAATATTGAAATTAAACATATCATGTTTGTACTCTTAAAGGATTTTTAATGAAGATTACAAATATGTCAATATTGAGGTTGACATTTAAAACCTGAAGTTAGTTATCATATAATAGACAAATGGATAACTTCATGATGTTCTTTTATAATGTATTCATAATTAAAAAACTTTTAAAATGAGTCCAAACATGACGCACTTATCTCAAAAAACAAAAAAGTTAGAATAAAAAACATTAAACCCGAAGTTGGCAACAATGAAGATGGCAATTTAATTTTTAAATATTAGTACCAACCTTAATTTTTGTTTTTTTTTATTAAATTTTTGTTTTCGCGACATTTTAGAAAATGAAGAATATATCAAAATGGCATTGACATTTCAAACCGGAAGTTGCTTATATCTCGATTAATATTGGAATTAAACATATCATGTTTGGACTCATTTTAAAGGATTTTTCACGACGATTCCAAATATGTATGTCAAAATTGACGTTAACATTTCTAACCGGAAGTTGACCATAACTTCATTAATGTTGAAGATAAATATATCGAGTTTGTACTCATTTTAAAGGATTTATGAGAAGCAAATTTTAATATTCAATACACAAAACTTATCGCTTTTGGCATATCCAAGTTCAAACTGGTGAAGTGAAGCTGTGCAGTGAAACATGTTCTTTCAATCCTCACTTCTCATGGTCAATATGATTTGTGCCCTGACACAACTCAAAAAAAAAAATAACAAATTTTTTTTATTTGTTTAGCTAAATATTCAAAAAATTATCTCAACTCGCCATTTTCAACCTTCACAGTTTAATCTTAAAAGTTTGTCATTGATTTTTTCGTCAAACGAAATAAAATTCCCCGTAAATGAGTAATAACAACAAAATAAAACGAAATTGTGTGTTTACATGTTACTCATAAACGCCACCACACGTATCGATATTACAATCTATCTCCTTCCAGCGCATTATTACTCTCTCATTTCGTCATCCTCCATTTTCCATCTCACTCTCCGATCAAAACAATCGCGACTCGAAACAACCTAACGAAAAAAAAAGGCGAAAACTCCGCACATGGCAACCAAAGTGTTTGTATCCGAAAATAGACCTTTCGTCCGGATTCGCCGCAAGCATTTGTTATTCAGTCACGTGGCGGTTCTCCCCCTCTACTTTTTCCCCGTTCCTTTTCCTCGTTTGGTTTGGTTCGTTTTCGCCTATTTACAACGCCTCCTACTACTACGAAGTGAACCACTATTTCTCGATTGTTCATAATTCCGATCAAAATTGTAACGCAAGCGTCATAGTGACGGCGTCGTCATCGTCGTAGTGAGCCGCGCTTATTGAGTGACCTTTACCCCTTCTCTTTATCCCCCACCATTATTTTTCAATCGAGACGCGCGGCCTTCGCTTTTATTTACAAATATACGGACGGCTTGATTCAATGGATTCGGTAGTCGGACGCCATCTGTTGTTACGAATTCGAATTAGATATTTAAATTTGAAAAGTACACAAAAAAAAGTTTATTTAAAAGTTTCGCAATATCTTTTTGGTGTATTTTTTGATGGAAAATTTATTTATGTTCGATCTTTTTTTTTATGTAAATTTATTAAATCGATTTTTTTTATTAACTAGAAATCCGCATCAAGGTTATTTTGGGTTATTTTTATGCACTCTTACTTAGAATATACTCCACACTACGTTATTTACAACGAACATGTTTTTGATTCATTATAATTAGCCAATTCGGATAAGGTTGCTGGGAATAGTAACAAAGCGACCTTTAATCTTGGCTAAATGTGTTAAGATTAGTTTATTTATAAGTTTTTTCGGATTCTTCTTTATCCTTTCAATTTCTTGATTAATTTATTTATATTTAATCTATTTGTTATTACTTTGCCGTTTGTTTTGAAGCGATTCTTTAACTTGGATATAAAAGACGTTAATTTTATATTCAAGTTAAAGAAAAGAAAAAAAAGACATTATATCTAACGGGTATTTATTTATATCCATTTAAAAAAGGACATTCCGAGGATATTTTCTTTATTCAAGGTCGCTTTAACTAACTTAAGTGTAAACACAAAGTTTTATTTTTAAAACTTATTTTATCTGAAAACTGTTTTATCTTAAAAAAAAGTTGATTGTTTAATTAATTCTAATATTTGTTTCTTTTCTGTTTTAGGTGCATGTTTAGGTTCCCTAGCACTACAATAAAACTGGCTTTTCATTCATTAATAGACGAAAATGGTGATCCCCCTCCGAAATTAAGAGAAAGACAAAATAGATTTGCCAATAATGCATCGAGATACCACCCTCTACCTCCTTTAAGGATCAACATACCGGAAACTGATAGTTATAGTAGTCCGTTTCCGTCACCTACAGGAACTATTAGTGCTGCTAATAGTTGCCCAGCAAGTCCAAGAGGTAAACAAAATACAGTCAAAACTTCATATGCAGAGATAGTACCAACCCAACTCAAAACTAAAACCAAATTTTGATGTTTTTGATCATTTTCGGTTATAACTTATTAATTGTGCATGGCTGAGAACTATTTTTTAAACAAAAAATGTTTAGAATTGACTCATAAGACGTTTTGAATAACGATAATTATTCCATCAATCAGCATTACCAACCCAGCGTAAGAGAAATAGAAATTTTGACGTTTTCACCAATTTTTTTTATAACTCATTAATTATATCTGTTGGAAAAAAACTTTTTATACAAAAAAGATTTAGAATTAACCCGTAAAACATACCCAATAAGTTATTTTATTCCATGGATCAGTAGAACCAACCCAACTCAAAAATAAAACCTAATTTTGATGGTTTTGATCATTTTCAGCTATAACTTATTAATTGTGCATGATGGAGAATTATTTTTTAAACAAAAAATGTTTAGAATTGACTCATAAGAAGTATTAAATAAAGATAATTATTGCATCAATCAGCATTACCAACCCAACGTAGGAGAAATAGAAATTTTGACGTTTTCATCAATTTTCTTTATAACTCATTAATTATATCTGTTGGAAAAAAACTTTTTATACAAAAAAGATTTAGAATTAACCCGTAAAACATATCCATTAAGTTATTTTATTCCATCAATCAGTAGTACCAACCCAACTCAAAACTAAAACCAAATTTTGATGGTTTTGATCATTTTCAGCTATAACTTATTAATTGTGCATGATGGAGAATTATTTTTTAAACAAAAAATGTTTGGAATTGACTCATAAGACGTATTGAATAACGATAATTATTCCATCAATTAGCATTACCAACCCAACGTAAGCGAAATAGAAACTTTGACGTTTTCATCAATTCTCTTTTATAACTCATTAATTATATTTGTTGGAAAAAAACTTTTTATACAAAAAAGATTTAGAATTAACCCGTAAAACATATCCATTAAATTATTTTATTCCAACGATCAGTAGTACCAACCCAACTCAAAAATAAAATCTAATTTTGATGGTTTTGATCATTTTCAGTTATAACTTATTAATTGTGCATGACGGAGAATTATTTTTTAAACAAAAAATGTTTAGAATTGACTCATAAGACATTTTGAATAACGATAATTATTCCATCAATCAGCATTACCAACCCAACGTAGGAGAAATAGAAATTTTGACGTTTTCATCAATTTTCTTTATAACTCATTAATTATATCTGTTGGAAAAAAACTTTTTATACAAAAAAGATTTAGAATTAACCCGTAAAACATATCCATTAAGTTATTTTATTCCATCGATCAGTAGTACCAACCCAACTCAAAAATAAAACGTAATTTTGATGTTTTTGATCATTTTCGGTTATAACATTAATTGTGCATGGTTGAGAATTATTTTTTAAACAAAAAATGTTTAGAATTGACTCATAAGACGTTTTGAATAACGATAATTATTCCATCAATCAGCATTACCAACCCAACGTAGGAGAAATAGAAATCTTGACGTTTTCATCAATTTTCTTTTATAACTCATTAATTATATCTGATGGAAAAAAACTTTTCATACGAAAAAGATTTAGAATTAACCTGTAAAACATACCCAATAAGTTATTTTATTCCATCGATCAGTAGTACCAACCCAACAATTTTTTGGGGTAACTTTAAAATGTTGCGAAAAATCAATTTGTTGGAAAATCATCATGAATTTCTCACTATGTATTAATTAAAGCGTCTTCTTTCTAAGGAAGAAGTCAGATTTACTAAATTTCTTTTAGTTTTTAAGATACAAGTTATTTTTGAGTTAATAATTTAATAAATAATTTTTTTTTAGGTGGTCATAGAAGTGTTCCTGCAGATTTACACATGGCCGTAACGTACGCGGCCCAAATCGTACAAAAAACTGAAGAAGGACACCAAATTCACCAGCAGGGTCAACACAGTCCGCCGTCGGACCAATACCATCCGAGACACCACCAACAGCCGACGTCGAACGGAAGTGGTTCGATGCCGCCGTCCGTGGTTATAAACGAAGGCGGTGGTTATGGTTCATCCGGTTCCGTTGTCGGAGGGGTTTCCGGCGGCGGTGGCGGAAAAGATGATTCAAAACCGCCATATTCGTATGCCCAGTTGATAGTGCAAGCGATCGCAAGCGCGCACGACAAACAATTAACCCTGTCTGGGATCTACAGTTACATTACCAAGAACTATCCGTACTATAGGACCGCCGATAAGGGATGGCAAAATTCTATAAGACACAATTTAAGTTTGAATAGATATTTTATTAAGGTAATTATTAAAAAATTAACTTGTAAAATAGCTTTTTCGTGTTTTAAAACCTGTTTCAATGGCTAAATGGTTCAAATTATTGTAAAACTAATAACAGTTTGTAAGATTAATAGGGAATTTTGTTAAATCATGTGTTGGTACCACTTTGACGTTTGAATTTTCGTTTTTCAAAAAGACCCATTTTCGTCAACTTCTTTATAAATTAAGCTATTTTATTTGACTGACTATTTTTAAATAAAACAACTTCTCACTCCATCTAGTGATAGTTAATAAAAGTATTTTTGAAGTTTCGATTCTGATTGACATTTCGCATATTATTCTTTAAAATTTAGGATTTTCTTAAAAAAAAAGTTTAAGTGAACCTCAATAACGTTCAAAGTACGTATTTAAGTACTCAAGTTATTTAGTTTTAGTGATTTAAGATTTCCCGAAATGATTTTATCGCACCAAATTAAGCAACGAAGACTTTGACAGGAAACATAACCTCAAATCATTTCTTTTGCAATTCGTGGATTTTCAACTTATTTAAGAACACGCATAGTAACAGAATGAAGGTAAAAGAAGAAAATTAATCTTTATTTAGATAGATTGGGATCCCTCATCTCCGCATTTATAGTTTGGATTTTCTTTTACCTTAATTTTATGGAGATATGATGGGATTCCAGGGAATTTTGATAATCATGTGTTGGCACCACATTGACGTTTGAATTTTCGTTTTTCAAAAACTAAACGATTTTATTTAGAATTACTCAGAATTTTATAATAAACGCTTTAAAAACTGTATTTTATGACCGAATATATTTTCATCAAATTATAAGTGAGGTTATGTGCATCCTAATTGAACTGTCACTTCAAAATCGTCGTTTCTAACCTCACATTACTGTTTTTTACGTTCTAAAACTATTAAATCTGATATCGATTTATTCAAATACAACGTATTGATTCTAAACTTTTTTTCTAGGTACCTAGGAGTCAAGAAGAACCGGGAAAAGGTAGTTTTTGGAGGATAGACGCTCAGTCTGAAACAAAATTAATTGAACAGGCGTTCAGACGAAGGCGGCAACGTGGAGTTCCTTGTTTTAGAGCACCGTTTGGTCTCAGTTCAAGGTGAAAATTTTGTATTTACTTTATTATCATTAAATGTAATTTATATATTTTTTTAGAAGCGCACCAGCCTCCCCAAGTCATGTAAGCATGTCTGGTTTGATGACGCCCGAATGTCTATCGAGGGAAGGTTCCCCCGCACCTGAACACATTATAGAAATTAGCCAATCAGCTCCCGGAAGTCCGGGGGCCCAAGGTATTGTGTATCAGACCTCTGCAGGGGTTATTGGACATCAATCCATGTCGAAAGCACGATTATTATTACCCCATCGTGATCAGGAACATTTGGGTGGAAGTTCTAATGGTCAAGAACATAGAGAAGGTAATTAAGTTAATTATTAAAAAGAAATTTAATTTTTTTGCATTTTAACGTAATGTTTTATTTATTTATTCAATTAATTTTTAAAAAATGATTCAATTTGAGTTGATTTTTCAAAAAATTAAAATTTTTAATATGCTATAAACAAAGTTATGCAAATAAAAAGATTTTGGGTAAATAACTTCAATGTTGATTTTACATCTGTCAAGATTATAATCAATTTTTATTTAAATTATTTAATACTAGATGGCGCGAGAAAAATGTAAATTTTTTTTTATTTTAACGTAATTTTTTAATTATTTATTCAATTAATTTGTAAAAAATGATTCAATTTGAGTTGATTTTTAAAAAAATTAAAATTTTTAATATGATATAAACAAAGTTAAACAAATAAAAAGATTTTGGGTAAATAACCTCAATGTTGATTTGACTTCTGTCAAGATTATAATTAATTTTTATTTAAGTTGTTTACTACTAGATGGCGCGAGAGAAATGTAAAATTTTTTTTTATTTTAACGTAATTTTTTAATTATTTATTCAATTAATTTTTAAAAAATGATGCAATTTGAGTTGATTTTTCAAAAAATTAACATTTTTTATATGCTATAAACAAAGTTATGCAAATAAAAAGATTTTGCGTACTTAATCTCAATTCTAGTTGCAATTTGACATCTGTCAGTGTCAAAATTATAATTAATTTTTATTTTGTAGTGGAAAAGTATCATGTAATTACATCTGGTGCTACGTTAGAAGATAGGTCTTTATCTCCAGCTGCTTATTCACCGCAACCACAACCGGTAATAGTACAACCGGCGAATTATGCTTATACAACGTAAGTACTTAACCTAACTTTAAAAAAAAAAGTAATTTATTTTATTTTGATTAGTGAAATTAATTATGGGGATCCGGGGTTGGATTTAAAAAGACACATTGACGATCAGGGGAGCCCGGAAAGTGGTGAGGAACCCCAGGATCCCTTTCATAAGTGCAAAAGGCCTAAGTCCGAGCCGTACGAGACGGAGTGAGTTTAAGTTTTTTCTTTTTTTGTTTGTTTTTTTTTTTTTTGTAAGATAGATGTCGAAATATCAAGTTTAAAATTAATAATTTTTAAATGATTATGGTGAAATGCATTTTTTAAATTAATTGTGTACCTCGCATATTAATTTTTGACTGCAATATTAATAAAAATTAGGTCAAGATTTTATAAAAAAAGCAGTATTTTTTGGGTTTGTTTTAAGAATCTCGAATTACTCAACAAAATAGAATAATAAATGAGATGATTATTATTTCTTTTTTAATAATTAATTGTTTCAGCCAAAGATTTCTGTATTGATTTGATTAATTTTGTTTACATTTTATTAATTGATTTGTATAATTTAATTATATATATAAAAAGAGTTGTATAATACATAAAGTTAAGATTTAACTTGATATTTCGTACAAGATAAGTGAAAAAAATGAATAGTTTGTATAAAATATACAGGGCGTAGCAAAAAAAAGTGTATCTTTTTTTTATTTTACAAAAATAAAAAGAATTAAGTCACCAGCATCAGCATTAAGTAGCTACAGCTGCTTTAGAAACAAAATAATTAATTTAAAATAAAATTTAAAAAAAATTAAATAAGAAAAACAGTGATTATTATATTTAATGCTATACAAATTGTTTTTACTTGTGTATACATTAAAAGAAAAATAAGATAAATTAATAAAATAATTAATTATTAGGGAAAAAAGACCGAAATTATACTCGCCTACCTTTTTCATTTGTAAAAAAAACCTAAAACATTAAAAAAAAATTGTATTTTTTGAAATCAAATTATAATTTTTAACAAAACTATTCGAGAATGGTAAAAAAACGATGAAGAGAATGAAAAAGAAAAAAGGAAGATGTTTTTCACACCACCCGCCGGTACAAATCGTAGCGTTTAGAGTTAGGAGTGATTATTAAAAGGGCTTTTATTATCCACAAAGTTTCAACCGAAAAATCGTATTATTAAAAGGAAAAGAAAAGAAAACTGATAATAAACAAAAATAATAAAACGCATCTATTATTCTATAGTAGCATTTTTAAAAATGAAAACCGACCTCTCCACCCTCAATTTATAAATAAATAATTAATTACTAAAAAAAAATAATACCGACTTTATGATCTATTTGTTGAGATATTTTATTGTTAACGTGGTATGGTTTGTATATGTTTCAGTTTTTAAATTGATTAAAGAGAGATTTGTTGAAATTTGATCGTTCATTTCCTTTCTTTTAATATCCTTTTCAATCTTTAACAAGAAAAGATTTTATTACTAATTATTATTGATTTTTTTTTCCAAAGATGGCGCTACATAATTAGATAAGATCAATTATTGTAGAAATCAGAAAATAATAAATTTGATTAAAAATGATTTTAATAACGATTAAGTTAAACTAAATCAATAATTTTTAATGATTATTAACTCAATTTAATGATTTTTTTTGAAATAATTTGTTGTAATTAAATTTTTTTTACCAAGTGAGGTTGGTAGCTTTGAAGAAACTAAGTCATAATTTGACAGTTCCTAATTCCCAACGTTTTTGGAATTGAATCTTGTGTAAACAATTTAGGGATTCAACAAGATGTTATGGAATATTATACAGGTTAGTGAAACAATCAAAATGTTATTTATTAATTGTGTCATCAAATATGGGTTTAAACAGAACTTAAAAATTAATGTTTTAAATATTATTACAAATTATAACCGAAGTTTTTCTTCAAAGATGGCGCTATCTAATTAGATAAGATAAAAAAAAATTGTAGAAATGAGGAAATAATAAATTTGATCAAAAATGGTTTTAATAATGGTTAACTTCAGGTAAATCAACAATTTTTAGTGATTATTAACTGAATTTAATGATCTTTTTAAATAATTTGTTGTAATTAAGTTTTTTTTACTAAGTGAGGTTGGTAGCTGTGAAGAAACTAAGTCATAATTTGACAGTTCAGAAATAATTCCCAATTCCCAACGTTTTTGGAATTAAATCTTGTGTAAACAATTTAGGAATTCAACAAGATGTTATGGAATATTATACAGGTTAGTGAAACAATAAAAATGTTATTTATTAATTGTGTCATCAAATATGGGTTTAAACAGAACTTAAAATAACGTTTTTGTTTAGTAACAACGAAAACATGCTGTTTTTTGCTTAAATATGACTCATTTAACGTCGATTTTATTACGTTTATTGATATTAACATATAATTTATAAGATTATTGTGTTAATTTTAATTTGTTTATTAAAGTTGTTCTAAAAATTTTTAACAGATGGCGCTATTTGTGCTATAAAAAATCGTCAAAATGAGAAAAATTTAAAAATTGTTTTAACAATAAAATTGAATTAAATCAACAATTATTAAGTGTTAAAAATAAATTTAAGATTTTTTTTAATTATCATTAAAAAGATAATATTGTTGATGACGTTAGGTTTCTTAAAGTTTTTTTTATTAAGTAAGGTTGGTAGCTTTGAAGTAACTAAATTATAATTTGACAGTTCATAAATAATTCTCAATTTAGGAGATTAAAAATGCGGATTTAAACAATTTAGGAATTCAACAAGAAGTTATGGAATATTATACAGGTTAGTGAGACAATCAAAATATTATTTATTAATTATGTCATCAACTATGGGTTTAAACAACTTAAAAATAACGTTTTTCTTTTTAGTGTCATGCTTTTTTTTGCGTAATTTTGAATTTCATTATGTTTATTAATATTATCACGTAATTTATAAGATTATTAATTTAATATGTTAATTTTAATTTGTTTATTAAAATTATTTCAAAAACGTTCAATAGATGGCGCTATTTGTGTTATAAAACATTGTCAAAATGAAAATAATATAAAAATTGTTTTAACAATAAGATTGAATTAAATCAATTAATTAAATAATTAAAAATAAATTTAATGCTTTTTTTAATTAACATTAAAAGGATAATGTTGATGTAGTTAGGATTCTTAAAGTTGTTTCTTTTATTAAGTGAAGTTGGTAGCTTTGAAGAAACTAAGTCAAATTTGACAGATAAAAAATAATGTTATAATTAAATCGAGAAATATTAACAAATTCGGTGATTTTTTGTGTAAACGACTTCTAAACAACAAGAAGTTATAAAACATTACACAGGTTAGTAACAAAATTTAAAGCTTTATTTATTATACACGTCAAAAAGTGGAGGTTAATTACTTACATTAACTTTTTTTTAGGTTTAGAACGAAAAGGAGGTTGGTTATTGTTTAAACAAGATTCGTTTATAATGTTAAAAAAGATTTTGCATGTAAGTAATTTTTAAACAATATTTTCTAACCTCAAAAAAATTTTTCTTTCATTTATTGAAGTTGGTAGCTTTGAAAGAACTGTCACAAAATTTGACAGTTAAAAATAGTGTTTCTCAGTATTGAAAAATTATTGACTACAAGATAATAAATAATACAATAATTGTGATATAGGTATAAATAATTGTTATTAACACTTCATTTAATAGGTTTATCAAATCAAATCGATCGTGAACTTGAAACAGATTGATTAAAATCACCTGATTAATAACCTAACCAAACTTTTTTCATATATTTCCTTTAATATGTATTAAATTGTTATGTATTTATCTATCACAGGTCTACTTCAACGTCAAGGATGCATATATAAAGTCATGAATGTCAGAAAGATTGTTGTGTTGATTGATAAAAATGATTAATAAGGCGGAATTAGCATCCTTTATATGCTTAAGATACTCTTTTAGTGGAATTTTCCTTAAAGTAATGCTCATGGAAGTTTTGGTCTTTATTTATCTATGTTTTTAAAGAATTTGTTTCGTTGATTATATCATTAATTAAAATTTTTATGTGGTTGGAGTTTCATTGGACGCTTATCCCAATGCTATTCGTGGTAAATAATTAATAATTTTCAATTAATTAGAGCTTCCAAAGCCAATTTGGCCAATTGCAAACTTTATGTATAAGAAATGCAACTAAAAAAATTGATTTTTATTAAAATAATTAAATTCTTATCTAAAACAGTGTCATTATAGATATTTGCACTAATTTTTAGATTACAATCTATTAATTAATTATAAGTTATAAGTATTCATTCAGTAGTCTTTTATATTATTAAAATTATTTGTTTTTTTCTTAATTCATTTAAAATAAGATGTCGGAAAATTGTTATCATGGATTTAAAAAATTGATGGATTACCAATAAATCTCGCTACTATAAAAGAGATCTATTTAATTAACCAAATCCATTAAAAAATTATCCTTTGACAAGTTAACTCTTTAAACATGAAAGGTAATAATAAAATTATTTTTTAATACAAATCAAAATTAATTTCAAATTTTTTAGTTGCTTTTTTTTTGTGTGCCACTTTCTTGGTTACTTTCTATCATGCTAAAGCGAACCCAGTTGGGGAATGTTCCGATGGCACTGAAGGAGCTGTTGAGTTCTTACCCGACGATACTGATTGTAACATTTTTTACCAATGCAGCTGGGGGAACCCCATCAAATTAAATTGCCCCCACGGTTTGCATTTCAACCAGGAATTACAAGTTTGCGATTGGCCAAATGAGGCGGGATGCGAAATTAATGGTGGTGGGGTTGAAGATGGAAATAGCAGTGAAAGTAAATCATCAAGTTCTTCTAGCGAAAGTGATGAAAGCTCCTAATTATTGTTGTTATAAATAAAATTTGATTAGGATTAGAAATATGAAATTAAACGTTTTGGGTTATTATGCAAATAATTTTTTATTTGACTGAGTAATAAAAGATGGGTTTAGTGTTTGCGATAAATTAATCGCGGGTTTATTCTTGATTATAAAATTTTAAGCTGATAATTTTTTTTTTAGGAAAAAATTATCTTTGGCATCTATAAATTTTTTATACACCAAGATGAATTTTTTACTGTTCGGTATATATCATCAATTTGAGTGTGGTAAGTGAGCTATAATTCACAAGATCGATAAAGAAGGTTATATGGAAGAATCCTGAAAACTAGGATAGAAAGGGAAATTAAGGAGCAAAGTGGTTTCAGACTTGAAAGATTTTGCGTAGATAATTTATTGACGTTTAGACACCTAGTTGAGAAGAAGTTCTGAGAAATGCGTTAGATGTGGCCCCGCTTCAGAAATTATAGATTGTAGGTATCAATAGAACTTGCATCCATGCTGTGAAAGCGTTATACATGGATAATGCGTCATAGATTCAGGTAAAAAAAACTCATAACTGATGCTTTATCTCCTAAAAAAGGTGTCTAACAGTGATGCTGCTTCTCTCCCACAATATTCAAGATCTATATTCACTCAAGCCTAAAACGTTGGAAAAAGGAAATGTAACCTAATGGGAATATGGATAGGAAACAACCACATACACACCATGCTGTTCTAACTTCTTCTAGTTCATGCTGTAACTAGAAGAAAAATCCAATAAATGGAGCTAGGAAATGAACAAAGATAAGACCCAAAGATAATACAGGTGTACAAAAAGTATGGAATAATGGTTGTACAGGCTAAACTTAAACTTATCTTAAAAAAAGTTAACTATTAAAATTATTTTCCGCATATCTTGGCGTAGAAATAAAATAAAAATGATGTAAAATGACGTCTGAGTGTGTTTTTTAAATAGAACACCCTGTATATTTTAAGGTTTTTGGATTCTTTTGGACAAAGTGTTGCAAAATGCCATAAGGTTTTAATGCTTTAAACTGTAGTGTCTAAAACGTAGCGACAACCAAATTATAGCGTCATTATGGAATAGACAACCTAAGCCTTGACGTCACAGGGATGGGCGGAGCTTATACTGACTCCAAACAATTTCGTTGCTAACCACAGTTGCTAAGATAAATCGCCAAAAAATGTCATTTGAAATGTCATCACTTCGTTTATTTTATTTAATATTAACACTAATGGAAAATTGCATATGGTGATTTACCGTTAGCAACGAAAATGTTTGGAGTCAGTATAAGCTCCGCCCATCTCTGTGACGTCAAGGCTTAGGTTGTCTATTCCATAATGACGCCATAATTTGGTTGTCGTTACGTCAAATCTTTTTATTTAAAACTTTTTTTAATATAAGTTGAAGTTTAAGCTGTAGAACCATTATTCCATCCTTTTTGTACACCCTGTATATGCTAATTGGAGGAACAGGAAAGGACATACAATTAGAGACTGACATACTAAAACATTTAGACCGGTACGAATACCTTGGGATAGTTGTAAACGAAGACGTAAAGCACAATAAATATTTAAAAGAAAAATATTTTTATGGCCATTATAGAACCATTAATGACGTATGGGTTAGAAGTGTGGGTGAGAGACAAAGACACAATTCGAAGACTGCTAGTAGCGGAGATGATGTTTTGGAGAAGCTGGGTCAATTCGGTCGTGATGCTGGACCGAGTTGAAAATGAGGAAATAAGAAAAAATAAAATAAAATTGTATGGACATCTACGCCGAATGAGTAAAGAGAAAATCCCACTTAAGGTTTGAAACTTGGCCTAGGAAAAAATTGATCCACGATATCAATGTGGAGATGAAGAGGACTGGGTGAAGATGATTGGAATGATAAGGACCGCTGGTGGTTGAAATACGAGAAGCGGCAATAAAAAAGCTTTTTGGCGTTACATAACAGTTTGGTTATTACCCTAGTAGTCGTTGATTAGACTTCTAGCGATTAGTAAAAGCATCTTTCTGCCACTCTAGTCAGAAACTCTAGTCAAGTCAAGTTAGTCTCTCTCTGCCACTCTAGTCAAGGAGAGGTGGCGCTCGAGAAGTCCAACCACACAGGCAGTGATAAGTGTATATCATTGGGTGATTGCTGGGTCTTAACAATATGCATTCTCATGAAAACGATCGTGTTAGTTTTGCACAAGACTTAATTCTAAAAGACACAAAACAATAACTTGGCCATCAGCAAAGAAATCCCACCTTAATGACTATCTTGGGTTCCTATAAATTTTTCTAGATCTATAAAAACGAAATGGGTGACAAATCCCTCGTTGTTGCTCTTTAAAAGTTATGCACTTACCACCTCTCATTACGTGTCTAACATAATTCCTCATTGTAGCTTTTTATTATTGTCCACGACTCCAATACTTGTAACTTGTTACATTTGTAACTGCATCAACGAGAAAACTGGATGAATTCGACCACCAACCGACACTTGCAACCACTATAAAGCTAATATATGAAGACTTGTCATCAAAAGAATTGTTAGAAAGATGTTTGGGTGGTGAAAATCGAAATAATAATGAAATTATTATTCCGTTTTTGAAGATTCAAGAGAAGACGAATTCAAAAAGTAGGAAGAATATTTATCCGAGTTTCTAAAATAAATGACAAGAAAGATGAGCAATCCAAGGAATTGAAGGATGGAAAGGTATTGTAATAATTTTAACATTCTTTTAGTTCACCGAGAGAACATAACCTAAAATTTGTGACAGATTTTTTGTTGGTGAAAATCTTATCTTAAACCGTTTTGTTTACTTCCAAATGTATCAATTATTGTAGTTCAGCTCCTAAAGCACATTTTTCATCCATCGTTTGAGGTTTTAACGTTATTTTGAGGAAGAAATCCTTGATTTAAATTTGAATTTTTCCAACTTTACTCATTGTTGAAATTTGGCGTGTACTCCAATGTATGTCTAAAAACAAGAAAAGACAACGTTGAATACGAAGTTTTATTACGTTTCATAAAGGAATAAGGGAGAAATCAACGAAAAAAGAATTAAATTTTGAAGGTTAATTCCGAGAAAAATCAAGAGATGTCGCTAGTTTCGAAGCGAGAATTACAAAATCAAATTAAATTTAATCTTTTTTAATAATAATTAGGGTAAAAATAATATGCTTTTGTAATGAATTAATTAAAAATTTTGGGAAATACTAAATTTAATCAATACTGTGATAAAATTAACCATCGTTTAGTTCACCGAGACAACATAACCTTGAAATTTTGACAGAGATTTTTTGTTGGTGGAAATCTTATCTAAAACCGTTTAGTTTGCTTCCAAAAGTATCAATTAATATAGTTCAGCTCCTAAAGCACATTTTCACCCATCTTTTGAGGTTTTAACGTTATTTTGAGGAAGAAATCCTTGATTTAAATTTGAATTTTTACAACTTTACTCATTGTTGAAATTTGGCGTGTACTCCAATGTATGTCTAAAAACAAGAAAAGACAACGTTGAATACGAAGTTTTATTACGTTTCATAAAGGAATAAGGGAAAAATCAACGAAAAAAGAATTAAATTTTGAAGGTTAATTCCGAGAAAAATCAAGAGATGACGCTAGTTTCGAAGCAAGAATTTTGAATTTTAAAAAAGGCGCGAAGCTAAGAGCCAATCAGAAACGAGGAAAAAACAGTTGGAGTGCCGGGGTATATAAGGAGATCGCGAACAGGGAGTGGGAGAGTCGTCGTCTGACCAGCGTCGAATCTACGTCGTCAGATAGAAGAAATTTTGAATCTCAAGAGATAACCTCAAAAATTTAAGTCAAATCAACTTACGATATTAAAATAAAAAGAGAATCATCCTACAACCTATTTCGAGATCATCCAAGACCCTATTTCCGAAGAACAAGCAGTTCAATTTCCTGTAAGAAGAATCCTGTAGACAATCCAGAAAATTAGTTAGTGCCCCAAACACAAGAGACAATCCATAATCCAGATACCACATTGAACTCCAATCCTTTCTTTTTCGCAGTGAGTCGGATGACAATTTTATTTTCTTATTTAACATAACCTACAAAAAGAAAAATCAAATTCAAAGAACAACTCACAAGAGTTTTCTATAATTTTGATGAATACTTACTTGTGTGTAAAGATTTATTAGTTTTCTTGAATAACGTTCATTTATTTAATTCTATTTTTTTAACGAGTTTGATGACAACTTAAGACATCGGCCATTTGTTATTTTCAAAGAACGGTTCTAACTAGTTTTATCTCTCTCTCTCAAATAATAAAGTGGTTCTCTCTAATATCGATATTTCAGTCGATAACCGCAGTTATCTATTTTATTTAAAAATTTATCTCTCGTAAATAAGCATTGTTATTAAAGTTAATTTAGGAAAACCATTTTTTTGTTACTCATAAAATGAGTTAATTTGATTTTGTGTTAATTAAATGAATTTTTTGTCGAACCTGATTAATATTTTTTTGAACCTGAACTTGCCCGGAACCCTGAGTTTTAAATAAGAGTCTGTTAAAATTAAAGAAACCCAAACTTATAGCTTAATAACTTGTGTATAAAACAATCACACAAGTAAAACACCACAGTATTTAAAGTAAATTTTTTTTATGACACTCTAATTGAAAAAAAATAAGCAAAATTTATAATAATGCAAAATATTTTATTTCTTTATATCAATTAGAAAACATTTAGATATCGCATCCTGCATCAGCTGGCCAATCGCAAACATTAAGTTCGGTGTTGAAGTGAAGACCATCTGGGCATGGCATATCGTAGGCAACCCCCCAGTCGCATTGGCAGAATCTTCCGCAAGTTTCAGGGTGGGCAAAATAAACTGGGTAGTCATCATTAACAGCTGGGCATTTGTCGTTGGGGCATTTTCCGCTGTTTCCTTCATTGCTTCCGATTTCATTGCTTTCAGAACTAGAACTGGAGCTAGAACTATCGGATTCTTCTTCTGGTTCTGGTTCTGCTTCGGTTTGAGTCTCAGTAACTACTTCTTCATCATCTTCATCGCTTTCACTGCTGCTGCTACTATCGCTGTTAGAGTTACCTTCTTCAGAGTTACCACCACATCCAGCTCTATCTGGCCAATCGCAAACTTCCAAGTCTTTATTGAAGTGTAATCCAGATGGGCAATCGAATTTAACCGCTTTTCCCCAATCGCATTTGTAGAAAACGGTGCAATCTCCATCATCGACCAAAAAATCGACTTTATCTGGGTTCATGTCGCTGGGGCATGTTCCAACTGGTTCGGCTTGAGTGTATTGGAGAGCAACCACGAAGGTGGCGAATAAAGCGAAAGCAACTAAAAAGTTTTTTTAATAAAAACAAATTTAATTTATTAATTTAAAATTAACTTACCTTTCATGTTGATTGAGTCTTCACAAATTGTCGAACAAACTTGAATGACACCCTCAACGTTTCTTATTCCCCCTTATATAGGTACCCAATACATTTTTTTGTTTAAAACAATAGATTAATTTATTAAAATCATTAAGATAAAACCAATTAATTTAAGTGATTGACTATTCACCTTTGATTAAATCAATTATTAATTACTAATTAATTGGATCAGATAAAGTAATCAAATAAAAAAAAATGTGGGTATAAAATAGGGTGAGAACAACTCGAAGCATCAAATAGTTTGTTTGATTCCCAATAAAACTACAATCATGAAAGGTAAGCACAAAAAAATGTTTTAATTCAAAATTTTTAATTCAAATTTTTTCAGTTGCTTTCGTTTTATTCGCCACCTTCGTGGCTGCTCTCCAATACACTCAAGCCGAACCAGTTGGAACATGCCCCAGCGACATGAACCCAGATAAAGTCGATTTTTTGGTCGATGATGGAGATTGCACCGTTTTCTACAAATGCGATTGGGGAAAAGCCGTCAAATTCGATTGCCCATCTGGATTACACTTTAACAAAGATGAAGAAGTTTGCGATTGGCCAGATAGAGCTGGATGTGGTGGTAACTCTGAAGAAGGTAACTCTAACAGCGATAGCAGCAGCAGCGAAAGCGATGAAGATGAAGAAGAAGTAGTTACTGAGACTCAAACCGAAGCAGAACCAGAACCAGAAGAAGAAGAATCCGATAGTTCTAGCTCCAGCTCTAGTTCTGAAAGCAATGAAACCGGAAGCAATGAAGGAAACAGCGGAAAATGCCCCAACGACAAATGCCCAGCTGTTAATGATGACTACCCAGTTTATTTCGCCCACCCTGAAACTTGCGGAAGATTCTGCCAATGCGACTGGGGGGTTGCCTACGATATGCCATGCCCAGATGGTCTTCACTTCAACACCGAACTTAATGTTTGCGATTGGCCAGCTGATGCAGGATGCGATATCTAAATGTTTTCTAATTGATATAAAGAAATAAAATATTTTGCATTATTATAAAATTTGCTTTATTTTTCTTATATAAATTTAATCACAAATGCTAGAGTCAAAATGATGTTTCGTGTAAAAATTTTTGAAGAAAATAACGCTAAATGAACTAGATTTGTTACAAAACATTTCGAATTAGATCTTAACATTGATATGAAAGAGAAAAACTTATTTAATTGTAAGTAAACTTTTAATTATTCATTTAATTAAATTTGATTAATTAATTTTAAAACATAACCTCACAACAATTGCCCAACATTGCGTCCTCTTATTCCCGTCGTTTTTGCAGCATTTTCCAAAAAACTCATCGATGTGGAAGGTAAAATTCCTTTTAAAGTGTCTTTAAAGCAATATGGGTTAAGTTAATTCAAAAATATACGAGTTTTTATTAATTTTTTATCTTTTTTTAGGTTGGATAAGCTTTCCAGTTGCAACGACCACTAATTCTTAAATTAATGACTTAATAATGGTTTGATATCACTTGTGTATCTCTCCTGGAAGAAAATAAAAGAAGGCGTCCTCAAAGATCATGATGTAAATTTATTGTATTGTACTTGATTGATTTCAAATAAATGATGAAAAGTATTTTTAGTACTGTTTTATTAAACTTTAAAAAATTCCAAGCGACATCTATTATTCAATAATAAAACCATTGGCAGTTAGCTAAGTTGCGAACCAATTTTTTACGGGTTTGTTTTAAAAATTATATCGGGTAATCCAAACAAAATTGATTGAAACGCAATATTAATCGAGATATAAGCAACTTCCGGTTTGAAATGTCAACGTCATTTTGACAAAAATTAAAAATTATTAAATAATTTAAAAATTAAATTGTTGCTAACTTCCGGTTTAACGTTTTTTATTAGATAAGGTCTTATTTTAAAGGTTATTTTATGAAGATTACGAATATAATAATAAAGAAGGTCAATTAGTTTAAACTCATTTATTAATAATAATTTTATTATAAGTCGATTTAAATTAATTTGAAGTTTGAAATGACAGCTCATTTCTGTCAAAAACGACATCTCATTTATATCAAAAATCTTTTTACTTTTTAATATTATTATTTATTATTATTAATATTTATTATGAATTTTTTGAATAAATAAATTTAATAATAATATGATTCATTTTATGTGTGTTCTTTTAAAATTAATAAAATAGATAGAAATGTTTTTACTTTCGATTTTTGATTTCATTTATTATTAATTTTTTTTTGTTTATTTATGTTAATAATGACTTCATTGTTATTAAACACATTTTAATACATAAACGTTTATTATATTTACATTTTAATTAATATATTACAACAAATTAACTTTTGATCGCATCTATACAGATTGATAATTGCCACATTGTCTCGAAGATGGCGACACCGTTCGAGTAAATATGGCCAACTATGCCGTGGACGGTGAAGACAATAAACAGGCCTTTTTCAAAAACGGTAACAAGCAGTGGGTGAAATTAAACGTCGGGGGCACTTATTTTTTAACTACGAAGACTACGCTAGCTCGAGATCCCAACTCGTTCTTGTATAGATTAGTTCAAGAGGACAGCGACCTCATATCAGACAAGGCAAGTACAAAAAAAAATTAAATCATTAATTTAAGCGATAATTAATTAAATTTTGGTGTAATCATTAAATTGTTTTAAATAAAACGCGATTTTAATTACATCTTTTTAATAATAAAGAGAAATAAAACTTTTTTGAGGTTATGTAAACGTCACCTGTCAATAAAATTTTATTTATCTTTTAGGATGATACCGGGGCGTATTTAATAGACCGTGACCCGAGTTATTTTTCCCCGGTGCTCAATTACCTTCGCCATGGTAAACTAGTCATAAATAAAGGTCTTGCGGAAGAGGGTGTTCTTGAAGAAGCGGAATTTTATAACGTAGCCGAATTAATAACTCTCGTTAAAGATCGTATTTACCACCGTGATTCGCGGCCGTCGAACGACAGCAAGAAGCACGTGTACAGGGTGTTGCAATGCCACGAAGATGAACTCACGCAGATGGTTTCGACGATGTCCGACGGTTGGAGATTTGAACAGTTGGTAAACATCGGTTCGCAATATAATTATGGGGCGGACGAACACGCGGAATTTTTGTGCGTTGTAAGTCGAGAATGCGGCGTTCCGGAAGGCCCCGAAGTGGAGCATAGCGATCGCGCGAAAGTTTTACAACATAAAGGATCGAGGATGTAAAAAAAAATAAGTTAATTTAGAACAAAAAGGGGAAAAGAAAATGTACAGAGAAGAATTGGGGTTTAAAATTTTCTTGATATTAAAATTATTAATTGAAAACAAATTTTTTTGAAAAGTACTGAATATTAAAGGACTGTTTTTTTTATGATTGAAGAAAATAATGATAGCAATACTCATCCTTTCGTTTTCTTTCCACTTTATGTGCGATTATTAAGAGAATATGTGCAACTTTAGGGAAATAAAAGACGAAAATGAATCGATTTTTGGGGTTTTACAAAAAACATTCAATTTAGAAGAAAAAAATGATTAAGAAAATAATAATACGCACAACTAGACTGTAACAATAATTAAAAAAAGTTCACCCTTCGTTAAATAATACCGTTTTAACGTAGGTTAAATTAAAAAAATTAAAAAATCGTGATGTAACAGCCCTTCGTCCTTTTTTTATTTATTAAACAATAAACTTAGATTGTGATTTTTACAATTTTTTTATTTTATTTTTATTTTAATTGTAACGTTTGAATACTTTTCCATTTATATAATTAAATTCGCATGTTATTATTGACTTCCTTACAAAAAAAAATTAATAAAAGATTGTCACCCACGTATAACCGATTAAATAAATAAATTATTTGTAAATTATATTTGTTTAATTATGTGTAATTCTCTTAAAATCATTAATTTTATTTGACAGATGTCATTTTGTGTAAGATTGGTTGCATAACATTACAATTTTATTTTTTTTAAATTAAATTAATTCTAAATTGAAATGTATAATAAACAATTTTTATAAATCATAAAAAAAGGGGAAAGGTTTTGTTAACTATTTAGGAAATAGGCAACCATACATACTGTAATAATTTTAACCGAGAGAACATAACCTAGAATTTGTGACAGAGAGATTTTTTGTTGGTGAAAATCTTATCTTAAACCGTTTTGTTTGCTTCCAAAAGTATCAATTATTATAATTCAGCTCCTAAAGCACATTTTTCGTTCATCTTTTGAGGTTTTAACGTTATTTTGAGGAAGAAATCCTTGATTTAAATTTGAATTTTTCTAACTTTACTCATTGTTGAAATTTGGCGTGTACTCCAATGTATGTCTAAAAACAAGAAAAGACAACGTTGAATACGAAGTTTTATTACGTTTCATAAAGGAATAAGGGAGAAATCAACGGAAAAAGAATTAAATTTTGAAGGTTAATTCCGAGAAAAATCAAGAGATGACGCTAGTTTCGATGCGAGAATTACAAAATCAAATTAAATTTAATCTTTTTTAATAATAATTAGGGTAAAAATAATATGCTTTTGTAATGAATTAATTAAAAATTTTGGGAAATACTAAATTTAATCAATACTGTGATAAAATTAACCATCATTTAGTTCACCGAGACAACATAACCTTGAAATTTTGACAGAGATTTTTTGTTGGTGGAAATCTTATCTAAAACCGTTTAGTTTACTTCCAAAAGTATCAATTAATATAGATCAGCTCCTAAAGCACATTTTTCACCCATCGTTTGAGGTTTTAACGTTATTTTGAGGAAGAAATCCTTGATTTAAATTTGAATTTTTCCAACTTTACTCATTGTTGAAATTTGGCGTGTACTCTAATGTATGTCTAAAAACAAGAAAAGACTACGTTGAATACGAAGTTTTATTACGTTTCATAAAGGAATAAGGGAGAAATCAACGAAAAACGAATTAAATTTTGAAGGTTAATTCCGAGAAAAATCAAGAGATGACGCTAGTTTCGAAGCAAGAATTTTGAATTTTGAAAAGGGCGCGAAGCTAAGAGCCAATCAGAAACGAGGAAAAAACAGTTGGAGTGCCGGGGTATATAAGGAGATCGCGAACAGGGAGTGGGAGAGTCGTCGTCGGACCAGCGTCGAATCCACGTCGTCAGATAGAAGAAATTTTGAATCTCAAGAGATAACCTCAAAAATTTAAGATAATTTTTTTAAATCAAATCAACTTACGATATTAAAATAAAAAGAGAATCATCCTACAACCTATTTCGAGATCATCCAAGACCCTATTTCCGAAGAACAAGCAGTTCAATTTCCTGTAAGAAGAATCCTGTAGACAATCCAGAAAATTAGTTAGTGCCCCAAACACAAGAGACAATCCATAATCCAGATACCACATTGAACTCCTCCAATCCTTTCTTTTTCGCAGTAAGTCGGATGATAATTTTATTTTCTTATTTAACATAAGCTACAAAAAGAAAAATTAAAGAGTCAAACTCAAAGAACAACTCACAAGAGTTTCCTATAATTTTGATCAATACTTACTTGTGGGTAAAGATTTATTAGTATAATCTAATATCGATATTTCAGTCGATAACCGCAGTTATCTATTTTATTTAAAAGTTATCTCTCGTAAATAAGCATTGTTATTAAAGTAAATTTAGGAAAACAATTTTTTTTTGTTATTCATAAAACGGGTTAATTTGATTTTGTGTTTAATTAAATGAATTTTTTGTAGAACCTGAACTTGCCGGAAACCCTGATTTTTTTTAATAAGAGTCTCTTAAAATTAAAGAAACCCAAATTTATAGTTTAATAACTTGTGTAAAAACACACTAGTGAAACATCACAATACATAAATATATATTGTGTAGCTAATTACGCAATTAAATTAATATTAACGGTTTTTTATTGTCAATTAATTTACAATTTCCTGTTTAATACATGACAAATCAAACTTAACTTCTTTGATGTACCCTCATCCATCCTTTGCCTTTCAAAATGTGCCACTTCTTCCCTTTTTCTATTCTAATGTCTTGGTCTGGTTTCATTTTCTTAATTCATCCTAAACCTTCAAATAAGAAAATAAAATTAGATTTACATTCAACAAAATAAGTTAATAAAAATTGTCGCCTCACAAGGTACCCAATAAGACCATAATAAATCAAATTGGGGCATAAGCTGGTATCATTGCTTTTCGAGATCATTTAGCACTGAGCTAGTTAAAATAAAATCACTGCCAGCAACTCTAGTCTCGGAATAAACCTAATTTAATAAAAAAATTACCTTGCTAACTTATTATTCAATTCTCCTATTGAAGGTTTCTTGAAAAAGCTGCAAATAACAAAAAGGTGTTATTTATTTAAAGCATTTTTATTTAAATAATTTAAGCTGTAGCTATACTTTAGAGATTGATAACTTATTTAAAAAAATTATCAACTGTACAGATTAGCAATAATTTCCACAATATAAAACGCTAAATAATTCATTGAGTAGGATTTATTTAGAGCTGGAATTGTGGGATTTCTATTTAACTTACCAATTTGTATTTTGGAAGATCGATCCAAACGATGCAAATTAAAGTAATCTAAAAAATATAGATTAATTAAAAACCTTGTTAAATCAAAAATGAAGTTGTTGTACCCAAATATTTCATACCAACATTGTTTTATTGGCAAGTGGTAAGCAAGTACTTTAATTTTTGCAGTATAAAACGTTACATACACTAAGAAAAGCGTGTATATAAAGCTGGAACTGCAATTTTTTTGTTAAGTAATCAGAAAAAAATTTACCTCGTTTTTTAATCGTTGAAAATCGTCAACCATTTGGATAAACCAAGTTTAAATTGGATAAATTCCGTAAAATTGCGCACATTCTATAAATAATTTTATAAAACGATAATAAATGTTGTGTTAGTAATAAATATTTAAACGAAAAAGATAAAACTGAAATGATCATTTAAATAAATGATGATTTAGGAGCAAAAAATAAAACGATCCTTACCTGATCGGTGTTGAAGAGAAAATGAACGATTCTTATTTGGTGTCAACGTCATTTTAGCTTTGCCATGAAGTTAGGTGCAACGCGAAGGATTATGGGTAAATAATTGTCAAATGGGTTGCATACATTTTTATAAAAAATAAAATAAAATTAATCAATAATAATATATTTTATTATTTCACAATTTTGTACTATGCACAACACAAGATAAATAAAACATTTTACAAAATATTACCGCTCTTAAATATATTTATAATATATTTATACTTTTGTTGTAATGTAATTTATAATTCTTATAAATGAAAAGTAGAAAATGTTCTTAACTTTATTCACAATAAATAACATACAAAAAAGGAGAAAACTGTAATTTACAAATTAAGTACAAAGTCGTTTCTTTTTTTTTAATATATATTTTTATCGCCTATCATCATTTTTTTTCGTCTTACTTAGACATATTTATGGGCAGTAGTGAATGTACTGTATCACAATTTATATATAATGTTTATGTACAATTTATACCATTTATCTCTACAATTTCATTTGATGTTACACCTTAAACAATGTATGTAAAAAAAAAATGCTTTTTGTTTTAACTTTTTTATTTTTATTGCTGCGATTTTGTACCATTTAAATACTAAAAATCAATAATTAAATGAAACTGTGTTATAATAAAGAATTAAGTGTAACATCACTGGGCACGGTCATGTATAAACAAAAAAAAATTGCAAAAATGGTACGTGATGGTCTATCAGCAATTCTAACACTAATTTTTTATATAAAGAAATTTAATTTCTTTCTCCTAAGCTAATTTTTATCGCGAGATGAATAATAAAACGGAAATCCGTTTCATTACGTTTCTTATTAATTTATTTTTTTTTATTTCATCACATACGGTAAGAAAATACACTGTACATTTTACAAATTGAGGCAGAATCATTTAAAAGTTAAACAAATTCGGACACGGAACTTTTGTAACTCGTTCTGATTAAAAGAATTGCATACTGTTCAGTGGGAAATTAAAATTTCAAGTTAGAAAAAAATTGTTTTAACAAACACTATTCGTGAGGCAATTCTTAACAAACATTGTTAACAAAATTTTTTGATTTAATCAATAATTAAGGAGATAACCTCAAAATAATAATTTTTCCGTTTTTATACATAATTACACTTGGAAGCTTAATTAATAGAGATGTAAAAAATTTTTATTGAGATAATTGGTTCAAAATCGAAATTGAAACAAATTTTATTTAAAACATTTTTTGATAGAAACAATAATTAATTTTGATAGCATACTATTCAGAGGGAAATTAAAATTTCAAGTTAGCAAAAAATTTTATTAACAAACACTGTTCCTGAAGTAATTCTAAACAAATTTTGTTAACAACATTTTTTGATTAAATCAACAATAAGGATATAACCTCAAAAATATTAATTTTTGTAGCATACTGTTCAGTGGGAAATTAAAATTTCAAGTTAGAAAAAAATTGTTTTAACAAACACTGTTCCTGAAGCAATTCTTAACAAACATTGTTAACAAAATTTTTTGATTTAATCAATAATTAAGGAGATAACCTCAAAATAATAATTTTTCCGTTTTTATACATAATTATACTTAGATGGTTAATTAAGATAATTGATTCAAAATCGAAATTGAAACAAATTTTATTTAAAACATTTTTTGATAAAAACAATAATTATTGAGATAATTAATTTTGATAGCGGGAAATTAAAATTTCAAGTTAGCAAAAAATTTTATTAACAAACACTGTTCCTGAAGTAATTCTAAACAAATATTGTTAATAAAATTTTTTGATTTGATCAATAATTAACAACATAACCTCAAAAAAAATTTTATATATACAGTGTGTCCCCGGATAGGTGAAACGACTCTTATAAAAGGTAAATTTTTTTCGGTATTAATTGTAATTTTTTGGGGTTTAGCCCTGCTTGATGAAAGACTAATTTTGAACATATTTTCAATTTTAAAAAAACGAGTGTGTCTTGGCAGTGAAAGAAAAACTTTTTTTGTGGCAGGTAAAGTACCTTTTCTGTTTACAGTACGTCAAAGTGTCACTAAGAAGTTTTGTTCAGAATGAAAAACTATGGCCATATGCAAATTTTCAGAATGATCGGCCTACTTTGATAAAAATCCATTTCAAACAATTTTATTTCTAACAAAGACTGCCATGGAAAAACAAAATTGCTTTCCTGTCAAGAAGTACTTGTTGGCGTTTAATCAAAACATTTCTTACAGCAGGAAGTATTCACTCTAAAGAAAAATTATGATGAAACTGATTAACTGTTAATTATGATTACCTGTTTTCTTTTGTGAGCGAACACACAATTAATTTTTTGTAAACATTTTAAGAACGGTTTGTTTATTTCTCCCAAACAATCTGATTCTCAAAACAAAAAATCTTAATAAAGCATCTAATCTTATAAAGTAGGCCGATGATTCCGAAGTCGTTTCACCTATCCGGGGACACACTGTATATATTTTTATACATTTTTTTTATTGAGAAACAACTTTCCTATGAAATTTTCTGCCGAGAACGAGTGGAGGGGGGAAATCGTATTGTTTTGTTACAAAAGTTCCGTGCCCTAAAAATTAATTAAAATTTATTTTAACCTTAAATATACCAAACTGTCAAATTCAATTTAATTCATAATTTACTACCAGCGCCATCTCTTATCGAGTGCTGCAACAACGTTTTGACAACGCAAATATTACATATTTTTGACGATTCTAATTAATATTAATATTTACGAAATTAAATTATTTAAGTTCCAAGTATTGTTTATTCAAATATTGTATCTAAGCTAATTTGAATTATAAGTTTAAATTAAGTTATTTAGAATGAATCAAAAAAATGTTAAGCGCCATCTTTTGCCCATCGATCGTATCAATTGACAATTACACACTGACAGTTATGTCATATTTTTAAAGGTTAAATAAAATTAAAAAATGAAATCTGCCCCTAAAAAATGAACCTGTACAAAAAAATAAACTAACCTTGATTATTTTCCTATTCCAACTAAAGCCTCGTCCATAAGTTCGTCGTCGGTGATGCTCGAAGACGCCGAATGCGGGCTTGGATTGACCATGGGACTTGGAGCGGGAGATTTAACAATGTGAACACTAACGGACGGCGAAGAAGGAAACCCAATAGCGTTAATTTTCGAATCTTTCGAATAATCGACCAACCCGTCCGCGTTAACATTCGATTCCCTTTTTTCCTTAATCTTATCGTCTTTAGGCGGCGGCATAATAAACTTGGACAACTCCATCGTTTTCGTCGACAAACTTAACGGCACATTCGCAAAGTTCAACCCCACCATATTCGTATCATCGGAAAAATCGTCCTTAGATTTCGGGCTGGTATTATTTAACCGGAGGGAATTTTCAAAGACACCCAATTTATTCCCCGGCAACGAAATGGCGTATTTATCATTTTTAAATAAATCATAAACTTTATTATCGTTTTCAACGGAATTTTTAATCTTCTTATCATCGGATGTGGTCCGAGCGGAAAGTTTCGGAATTTGAAACTTTTTATCCAACTGTTTAACAAATCCCTCAACAACCAAAGGCGTTGAGGAGTACGGATCCAATTTTAATTTATATTCGTCGTCACGTTGCGTGGGGGAACCTTTTCTGTCTTTATTAAAAAATGATTTATCCGATTTCGAGGGTTTTATCCTATCTTTTAATCGTAAATCGGTTGCGGAACTTGATTTCGATTTATTAATTAACGAAGAGCTCGAAATTTTGTTAGTTATCGTTTTGTTGGTTAATTTTGAGTTTAAATTTGACCCAGAACTCGATTTGCTTAATTGTTGTGGTTTTTTCGAAGCCGGGCCGCTATTTACGCCGGGTTTTAACCCGGTGTGCGTTTTTGGAGACCCCGTTCCCGAAGAAGACGATAAACTCGTACTTGTTTTATTAGAATTAGAACATTTCGATGATGAATCTTTCGTGCGAGTTTTATTTATTGTTATTTTGATCCCATCGGAACTCGGTTTTACCATGTATTCCGAGTTTTTATTCTCTCCCATTTTGTTGTTTATTTTGACGTCTTTAAAAATTATTTTATCTTTATTTTTACTAGATAAATCAGTGGCTGTGTCAGATTGGGCTAATTTTAATTTATCAATAACCGCTAATAACCCTTTACTTTTTCTTGCTACATTGGCGTTCTTCGACATATCTAACCCAGTGGGGGAGATTAACCCATCGGGGAGTTGCCCCATTATCTCGTTTGATCCCGCGTTTAAATCTAATTGTTTCACCTTCACCATCGATTTATCAATTTTCTTCGTTGAGTTTGAAAATAATCTTTTGTCTTTATCCCGAGATGACGAATCCTTGCTCGAAGATTTTTTATTTTCGCTTTTACTCGATGGTGAATTCGCCGCGTTTTTTAACGTCGACATGCTTGGTTTGCCACTTCCGCTTGTCGAGGGATGCTTGGGGCTTAACCCATGACTTTTCGGGCTTGAAATTCCGATTGTGTGTTTTGGAGAACTTGTAATGTGGGCGGGGGAATGTTTTGGGCTTTGATGCGACGACGACTTCAACAAATTTGGACTCGAAATTTTCCTTGATGTGTGAGTGGGCGATGAAGCAAATTTTCTTATCATACTCGGAGAGCTCGGTGTTATTAAAGGAGGGGATTCGTTTATTTTTTGGATACCTAAAATTAAAAAAAAAATAGTTATTTATGTATCAAGTCGAATAGCAAAGAAATAAAATTAACTTGTTTAAAAATTGAACGCATGTGGCGCCATCTCTTGGGAATTTTTTGGAATTATTCAGCTAAGAACCGAACCACTAGAATACAGGCGGATTGGATTTATAAATAAAACCTCCAACCACAGAATAACTGTTTGGAAAGTGATTAATTAACGTTCCGACTGGTTGGGAATTCCTCAGATGCAATTACACCTGTCAAATAATTATTTAATCCTACCATTATTACTACCATTATTACTGACGTTTTTATCCGTCATTCTGAACAAACGTCAACTTTTAAAAGGTGAAGTTAGCGGCAAATTTAAAAATATAACTCGAATTGAAATCTATACTTTTTAAATTAAAAGAATGATTTTTAATTTAATTAAATTATTTCAGTTTGTAACAAAACAATACGATTTCCCCCCTCCACTCGTATAAAAAAATATATATAAAAATTTTTTTGAGGTTATATCCTTATTGTTGATTTAATCAAAAAATGTTGTTAACAAAATTTGTTTAGAATTACTTCAGGAACAGTGTTTGTTAATA